GAAACCGTTTTAATAACGGCAAGGAAAATAAAGGCATTTTCCCGCTGTATGCATTTTGCAGGAAAATTTTCAGAAATGAGGTGAACGGTTTACCGTACGAAAATATCAGATGTGATTATGTACCCTGTATTGCTTATATTTATCCAGAAAGAAATAGTAAGTATTTTTGGAATTCCGACCATTTCAAATTTTCTATTTTTGCCTATTGCTTATTTGTATTTAGTTTATTACAGGAGGTATGCCAGGACTCGTCATTTAGCATGAGCTTGCTTTTTGAATGCAAATTTTAGATCAACATATGAATGAAGGCCACAGTTCACGCAGTGATTGTCCAGATTTGTTTATCCCAGATTTCACGCGAGCTAAAGTCTTCAGGGAAAGTGATCGCTGGCCAGGCAACGAAGAATTTACATTGACTCTTACAGATGAATCAGGAAAGAGGTTAGATTTTATTGCAAATATTATTTGAGGAACTTTTCTACTTTCAAAACATTTAATTCTTATTTTCAGACAGTGTGCTATAAATATTTTTCCTTTTGAATATCTCAGTTATTAAGCTTAAGTTTCTGTATATATAGACTGCCTGGTAATATACTTGCAAATGAGAAATGCCAATAACAGTAGCCTAGTTTGACTCTTATTTTTAAGCCTTCAAAGTATTTAATCCTTTTGTTTTCATACCTTATTACTCCTATACTTGTTCCAGTTTGATTGCAATTCATAATTACTATGTTTTTCAGTCTGCACCTTTTACTACTTTATTGCTCTACGTATTGTATATTATTCATTTCTTATTCTTCTCTTGCAGTGTGATAGTTATAGAAATGAATTTCAGAACTTTCGCATACTGCGTACGTCACTTGATACGACGTCATGAACTGAATAACGAACAGGGTATTCCTTCTGATATTTTTTTGTAACTTTTAAGAAGGTGTTTTATCTTTTTTAACATTTACAGTTTTTTATAATTTTATAGTGAAGGAGAAAGTGATGTTATGTAATGATTATTGTACCATAAAAATTGATCAATTCCTTTGAATATTTAAAACCAATTAGCTGTAACCTATATTTACAGTCTTACAGAAAATATCGTTTTATCCCGGATAAGTAAAATATAATTGCATTTTTGCTTTTACGGAAATAACTTTGCGCCGTGAATAGTTACAATAAAGATTGTTTACAGCTACGTCTTCAAAAGAAGGTGATTTGCCCGAAGTTTTTGCTATCATTTCACCGATTCATGCACCACTGTTTTATTTTGCGCTTGCTCGAGAATGCGTGTGTTATCTACACGATAATTTGAAAAAACTGGAAAATTTGCTGAATGTTGTTTATCGATGCACATTCCCTACTGACGGTTAGAATATTAGACTTTCTCAGATAATTTATATATCTGAGTTTAGGAAAGAATTTGAATCTCTAGTACTTCGAAAGAACTTCACTCTTATACTGGACTGCAGCTACTGAGTAATTAGTATCTCATTTCAGGCAGTTCTCTGCATGTTTTCGAAAAAGCAAAAGATGGATTCAAACGGAATATTGTGATTCGAGGACAAGGTCCTACACTGGGTCAATCAGATTGTTCTGGAATTGTGCGACGCATGGGGCCAGAAATTACAGTTGCTATAATTGCAGCATTACTGGCTGAACAACGAGTTATCATTGCTGGTGGTTCGGTAGTTTTTCAAATGTTTATGTATTTAAATGCTTTGCAGTTGAATAATTCATGGATGAAATAGTGGGTTAGCTAATTAGTTAATGAAGGAAGATATATTTGAAGTAAGGAAATGAGTCAACTAACTAGTCAGTGATGTGAGGAAGAAATATATATTAAATTTCCAAAAGTTAAGGAAAACGAGAATGAAAATATTATAGCATTATGAGTTGAAGATTACTTTATTAAGTAGTTGCAGGTACAATGCGTTTGCCACGCGGTTCAGTCGGTCGCTTGTCTATTGCATCCATTTTCATGGCCTTATACATTAATCCCAGTTCTACCAGATTCTTTGTTAGAAATAGTAAATTCTCCAACACCATATCTGATGGGGTTGTTAAGGTCAGTTAGTTCTTTTTACCCCGTGTTTTTCTTTGCTACTTTTGCGATTTATTTAACATTTTAATTTATCGATGCAGTCAGTTTGTTTACTGCTGTTGAAGCATTGGTGCTATTCAGTCTCGAATAAATTTTAGGACAAACATGTATAAATTGAAGTCTTTGGCTGCCAAGGATAAGAATCAGTGCACTGATGATCTTACCCAGGTAGGTTTTACAAGTTAAAAGTTCTTCAGTATTGTATTTGCAAACGTTCGTCATATTATGAACCAAATATAACTTCGAAAGTATTAGGCACTTTGTTTTGAGGACGACCTTGTTATAGTCGATCTCGATGGCGGCATATTTGTGCCACAACTTACCGAACTGTATACTGCAAGTGAGAGTATTGATTATAAAGCAAAAAACGCATTCGCATTATGTGAGAAACTTTTGGTCCCCAGGAAGCTTGCAGTAAGTCTTGCTATAAAACTCAAAGAAGCTATCGCTGTTGGTGAAGGCCCTCGCGCTGATCTTTTGCTTCAGAAAGTAGGTTTTTGTTTTGGGCTGAGAAATAACTTTTGATGAACTGGGTGGAAATTCAGTTTGAACGACGAATGTAAGAAGATAGTTTTTTTATTTCATCTTTTATTTTCAATTACTGAAATTTATTTTATGCCGAAAAAGAAGCTTTCAGGCAATGCTATCTTGGTTTGCAGCTTTAATTTGGCCCTATAAAGGTTGTGGCTTCTATGCGGCATTTGTCGCCGAATCAAATGGTGATTTTGAATCTATTCGGACTAGCAAGGCTCAACTGATCGCCTCACACTCTTCTAAATCTGCTCGACGTTTTACCGAATGGTTTGTCGAAACTGGTATTTTTCGTGAGTGGATCCGTCGAAAGGTAATTTATTGTAATTCGTCCGAAATGCAGAAATGCATGCATTTTTCGAAGTTCAAATCCTTTTATTTACCGTATAAATCTTGATTACATCTTTAACAGGTGGCTAGTGCTCCGGAAATAACCAGTATGATTCCTGATGTCGCAGAAGATGTGGTAAATCAGAAATTCGACGAATACGTCATTGCGGCAACCCTTCAATCATCTCAAAGGCGTGTGACTAACATATTCACAAAAGCACACAACGTTGTCTTTCGTTCTTATTTGGCGAAAAAGTTGTGAGATTAATATTATCAAAACTGTCTACTGCTGTATAAAATATTTAGGAATGATTTATATATAACATATATTACATAATGTGGGACTTGTTATATTTTGTGTATTTAGTCCTTCAAGTGGAATCCTCTTTTTCAAGATTTTTCGAATAGTTAGATTGAAAGTAATGAGGAGTGAGTAAATTTAATTTTTGAAGTAATGGTAAGATTTTTAAAATAATGAAAAATAACAAAATTTGATGAAAAGCTTTGGAATGGGAAATTCGTTAAAATACCAGAAATACCGTTTGGTATAATTCCAGGAATGATCATGATAGTTAAAGATGAAAACTTAACATCGTAAGGATGAATTATTACTACGTTTCACCAACACTATATCCTAAGTTTTACTAGACCAATAAAATTATTGAATTTACAATAGGAATAGTGAGGATTTCATGTCTTTGTTCATTGTTTTGCGTACAATGAAATGAACAATTCTTCTGAACAGCTGTTACTGGCAGTTGTAACGGCAGTTCAAAATATTTTTTTGTGAGTGAGATTTCATCCACCTACATCCATGACTTCCTGACGGTATATTGTTTTGGTGTAATGGTGAGTAGGATATTTTTGATTGTTGACAGGACGCCGTTCTCCAATTGTTAACTACATAAAATTTTTTGGATCACCTTATCAGTTTTTTGAGATTCAAAAGTTTTGGAGGCCCGTTATGGAAACCTTCCATTCTTCTTTCCTTCTTACTTTCTTAACATCAGTAATTCGTCTACTCGATTTATTGGCTTTTCAAACTTTTGTTTTTCACCGAATATGCACTGCTTAACTGATTCATTTTGTCATTTCTTTATTCATTCGTTAACTGAGGTGTCATCCAGTGAAGTTTTCATTCTTATTTCATATTGTATTCACTCTCATACAATCACCTGTTTTGTCAACAACGAAGTTTTCTCTGTTTTGTTAAGCAAAGCATCCTTTAGAACGATGAATTTAGTTTGGGCCAATTAATGAATTATTATACAGTAAAGTAAAGGTCAGTCCACCATTCTACTTTTCTATCGCAGATACCTTTCTGGAACATTTGCACGATCTATTTGGGCTATGACCTCCAATAAATTTAATTGATTTTTATAGAACACGATTCCTACTACATCTTACTTTGACTGAAATGACACAATGACACCGCAAGGCGAAACAGGTTTCAACATGCATCAAAGAAACTTGCTGGATTGATGGTGCTCCGGTGATTGCAGCCAGAATACTTCAGGCCACCACACACTTCCGAATTGTCCTGCCTTCAGTAGATAGCACAAAATTGTGCCAAGACGATATCCGTTGCAAAAAGTTGAGGTGCTGATCGTGTGGAAGTCCAGTAGAATATATACATATATATGTGGTAGCATATTTTTCATTTGCTAGGTGACTGATTGTTTCTTCTGATCTAGCTATTAACAATTGGTACTGTGATGTAGAAGTGATATGTTGAAGATTTTGCCTAAATAACCTTTCTCCTAGACTAAACGCTGTGCCATATCTTAATTTAAATCTTAAGGACAAGTTCCTGTTTCTTTCTTTCTACTGAAACACTATTTGTTGCTTAGACTTTTAATTTATAATTCCTGTTAATATTTCAGTTTAATTTATCTTTATGTTAAACCATGCAATGCTGAAGTCGCATTCTGAATAAATTTGTTGCTGTTATTATTTTTCGTTATTCATCATAATCACGAAAGTGACAATCATTTCTTATTGCAGGAGATACACTAATGTAGAATATGTATTAATGTATTTATAACGAATGACAACTTCGGTGTTAGACGATGAAAATATTCATGTCAAAGAGCTCAACAGAGTGAGTTTTTTGTTCGTTGTATTTTTTCGTTAATATATTGACTTTGTAAAGAGCTTTAAGGATTCATTATACAAACGATTTATTTGAAAAAGAAAAATTTAGTTTTTTTGAAGCTGTTTCTAAGTTGCGTAAAAAATGGCGACACACACTTGGACGCTACTGGCTTACAGGATTTATGCATTAAACTCAACCTTTGTTCTTTTACTGATGTCATACTTGAACGAATACTCGGTGGTTGTACAGTTGTCGACTTTACGGTATATAATATTGTTCGAAGTTTTTTTTGGTGTAAATATAAATCTTTCATTTCTTTGGCGAACCTTTTCTGATAACCCAAACTCCTAGATTTGATGATGGAAAACTGAGAACTGGTTTGTGGAAAAAGAAAAACAGGTGGCTTTAAAAAAATTCATTTGAAGATGTTCAAAGAACGGTTTATGCAGTTGCTGCCAGATATTATCAGCGTTTCCACGGTAGCAGAAAATCTTGAAAGTAATGCAGAAAAAAATTTGTTGGAACTTGGAATTGAACCCTGTGGTTTTTTAACTCGCTACGACATTCGTATTTTGTGCGGGCATACGCCAGAACTAAATAGGTAAACTTTAGATATGCAGCAAAAAAAATCCCTTTTGCAGTGTAACATGTGAAGTTAAGTATTTTCCCGTAAAATGACTCCTTCCTTATACTATACTTTAGATCTTGAAAATGTTTTTTGGAAAACAGCCTTTCAGTCTTGGGATAATGGAGATCGATAAGCTTTTTGACCATGCGGATACTAGCCATATAGGACGCATCACATTAGCACAATTTCTTGCTGAATATCAAATGCAGAAGTGGTTAAGCGAAGAAGTGAATTTTATTACTGAAACTTTCATACCTTCAGTGAATTTGTTCGAGGCATTGGATCTTTCCAACACTGGGTAATCATGTAGTTTCTGTATCAAATTTTTAATCTATTGTTTGTTAAACACTAACCTTCCTTTGAAATCGAAATCTTCCTACAACACAAACAACGACAGAGAATGCATCTTAATTTTTAGAAGCATTCGATGCCAGGAATTGTTGGAACATTGGCGAGCGTGCGGTATTAGCATGGAACAGGGTTTATATGTTTTGAAGGTAAAATGAGTGGGATATTGTTAAATGTTAGTTGAATTTTTAAATGGAAATATAAGAACTTCATTTTGTAAGTTACGATGTTTTTATTCTATTAAGGTTTCCGGACAACCACTTGAAGGGACGATCAATGCTATCTCACTTAGTGGTAGTCTGGAGCGACAGTTAGGTACTTTAGTAGCTGCATCGACTGCCTCCCCAGTAATTCGAGTTGCTCTGCTTTCACTTCATGCTTTTATCGATCACCTAAGGTATGTTTATATTATGCTGTTATTCTGGTTTTCGCGATTTAATATTTTTGTTCTTACCATCAATTTCAGTCATTCTTTTTTCAAAGTGGATTCTAAAGAGTACTGAAAATGGAACTTCTGGATGAAAGTTAGAGAACTTACGTTTCAGGTGTTCGCTAAAGGAGGCTGAATTGCGTGCAGAACATTTTTACAAACAATTCCAGCAGGCGAATCAGAGACATGTTCTTTTGATCGAAGAATTAGAGCAAAATCAACTCTCCATTGAGCAGACATATGAGCAACGGTGTAGGTTGGTTTTACTAAAGAATTTAGTACCTGAAGTCATTTTCTGTGTTCTATATGTGCAGTCTTATTTATAGCGTTTTTTTTTTGTTAAAATGCTGATAATTACCAATTTTTTAAAAAATTACTTTTTATTATAGGAGTTTTGATGAAGGCTATCGGAAAAAAATAAGTCAAATCGAGGAGCAGTTCTCTCAAGAAAAAAAAGACTTGCTAGCTGAATTGGAAAAGGTTATTTTGAATGTTTCATAGGTGATTAAGAAAAAAAAAAATGGTCTAGAATTGTTTTTAGGCAGAAGAAAAACTTGCTGAATTTCGAAAAAATGAGTCATCGTATCGTACTCGTTTGCAATTGCTTGAACGGCAGTACGCACGAATTACAGAAGAAGCAAAGGAATTATCTGAAACGGTGCAGCAATCAGAGCAAATGAACCGACATCTACGCAGCGAGCTGAATAAGGCATTACAACCGCGGCTAATGGAAGAAACGCAGCCAACGATGATGCTGAGACGTCGTGTTGAATTACTTATTACTCACAACAAGGTTTTTGATGGAACTGTAGAAATGAGTTTAAATATTTATGTAAATAATAAGCACATAAATTCTTCTTCAGAGCATAGAACACATCACTTCTGAAAAAAAACATAAAACGAATGGACTGGATTTTATTTTGAGGACTTTGTACTCCTTTGTAGGGTAAAATATCAGTCTTCTGTTACTATTGCAAAACCTGATTGGATTCATTCTTTAGTTTATAAAATAGCGAAAGGGACTATGAAAATTTTTTAGTGCATCATGATATGAATTACTTGTTTATTACATCATGATGTAAATTGTCATGAATGAATTGGTTGTTTCAGAATTAGCTATTACAGTAATTCTGCAAAATTTTTCAGAGGTTACGGGAAAAAATACAAGAATTAACAATTAATCGGAAAAAACGCAATAGTCGTTTCAACACGGTTGAGCCACTTTATTTTCACTGGACCAGTACGTTTAGATTGGAAATGTTGGCTTTAAAAAGGCGTAAGGAAGATAGACCAATTGATACACTATCAGGTAACTATCATTTTTTGATCTTATAATAAACCGTTGATCAGGTATATTCTGGTGATCGCTAAAATGTTTTTACAATAAAATATTATACTCTACGAAATTATTCAGAGATGGAAAGTGAACCGGAGTCTATTTTTATGAGATTCAGAAGGCGTCGTATGTTGAAAGTCAAGGAACGAAAACGTCGGCATGACCGAATTGCTAGGACTATGGACAATTCGTCATCAAGTATATGCATCATATTCAAAAATCATGTTTATTCATTTCGTAACTTATGTTTTTTAAAATGATAATGTAAATGATTCGAACATCATTTACTACCAAGTTATTGGTAATGCTTTAGATGAGTGGGTAGTGAATGCAAGGAATGATAAAGAAAAGATATCAGATGTTACACTGAATAAAAAGCTCAAACAAACTTTGCTGGACGGTCCACACGACAGTGTGGAGAGAATCAAAGAGCAGCATCGAAAAGAGATTGTGGCTTTAAAACACTCTGCTAATAAGACTCTTGCAGATGCTTTAATTGATCAGCAACAACGAATTACACAAAGGCAACTTTTTTATGATTGAGGATTATTAAATTTATTGTCTTAAATTCAGCAAGCTCTTCAGAAGATGTTGCTTCTCCAAGTTCTTTATAAGACGTGCATAATTTACTCTTTTTCGATGCCACAAAGTTATGTTTATAAACCTGCACAAAATTTGAGCTCAAATATTATTTCACAAAATGAAGAATTTTTGGAAAACTTCTTTGACTTCATTAATAACACAGTGTTGTAGTTTCGAGAAGGAACGGCGCCAATTTCAAATACAGTTAGTTATCGAAAGAAACACTTTAGAGCGAAAATTCGCAGAGGAAAAAATGAAAATGATCGGTCGATTGCAGGCAACTTTCTATGTTCTCATTAAATTTTTTAAGTTCCAGTTTCGACATATAGAATCGAGCACAATAATTCATTTCAAGAAACTCGTGTTAAAAAAAAATTCTTACATAAAAAATTTATAGGAAGAATTTGGATGCGAATTAAATTGCCTAAAAACAGTCATGTCTCCTTCTACATATGACAATTCACAATTATTTGCTCGTAAACTTGGGGTAAAGACTTTATTTTAGGGATTTAAGATCTTATTTTACAATTTTAAAATTTTTAAAACTTGAAATCAGACACGTAATTAAATAAACAAATTTTTTTTTTCACATTTCTTGTTAACTCTTCTGCGGAAGAGAGAAAAGTATTAGTTGTTAAGAATAATAAGCAGCAAATAGCTATTGACGACTATCGAACATTAAGTGTTAATTGATGTGTTATTTATCAGTATAATGGCGAAAGTATTACTGTTGAAAATATGAAAAGCATTCAGACGTATGGCTCAGTTCAATCTCAATCTCTATTCAGCATTAAACGGCCACAGTGCAGTACTTTGGTGGAAGAGTTCCGGTAAAACTTAGCTTTAGAAAGAAAACTAGGAAGGATAAAAAATCATAAAAATGACAGTTTTCCATCATTAACTTTTGCATTTTATATGTAACAGTATACATTGGTTTTCGATTAATAAAAAAGTAGTACTAATGTTTTTTGAAACAGTCTACCACTGTTCGATTTTTATCCAAAAACTTCTATAAAAATTTAGTAATTTTGTGACTAATAAATTCCGGTCCCTAACATCTAGTTTAATTTTACTTTTCAGGAAAAGTGGTGATTCATATAATATGTTTAATCAGAGTAATAATATTGATATGTTGAATATAGAGAAGACATTGCCACCGCCAACGCCATTTTGTAAAGTAAAATTGTTATAGCTTTATTTCTGACCCAGAAAACCTTAATATAGTTTTCTTCTTTGTCAGTGCTTCACTAACTGCATATTTCTCTGCATATTTATGTGGAGTGATCATTTCTGAATTACAATTTTTATTTCTGACAAAAAGTGTACAGTAATCACTTCTACAATTTTTCTGATTCCATTTAGTGTGTTTAGATGGTGCACGGCAAATGCTCCCATTATGAAATGATAAGAACAAAGCTAAGGCAGATTCATGCAGCCGTAGCAGGTGAGAATAATATCGTTGAAAGTGGTTTTGAGGATGTTATCTCTAGTGCTGATAGCATAACCGAAGTGAGTATTTTATTCCATTTTCCAGTATATTTTGCTCTTATTCTGGTCTGTTTCAAGTGAATTGTTGTTTTATGGAATTAATAATTGCCAGATTGCATTACTGTTTGGGTTTGTATAAAAATTATAACGAAGGTATTCTTTCCAATAAAGATGTAAAGAGATAGTGCCGGGGACTAAGTTTTAAAGTTATTTCTTATACTGTTAGTTTTGAAATCAAAATAGAGGAAATAAAGACGAAGAGAAATTTTGGAAAACTGAAGCTCATTTATAGCATTAAGAATGTTGATATTCTGCAGGAACATGCGCATTTGAAGAACGAAATCAAAAAACTGAGCGGGCGACTTTGTTCGGCTCGTGAAAAAATCATAGAATTGCGTGCTTACTTTGCAAAATGCTCCGCTAGTTGTGTGGAGAGCTTTGAAAATTGGCAAATTGGACAACCAGCGGGTGACTGCTTGACTGCTAGAAGCACATGGATACGTCGAAGAACAATAGCTCCTGATAGCATTTCGAAAATGGAACAACTTAAAGCGGAAAATGTTTTGCTTAGTGCACGATTAATAGAATCAACAGAATTGGTGAAAATGTTGATTCGGGAATATAGTGATCAGTTAAATAGAACGTCACGTTTAGGGAGATTTATCCGTTCTATATACTCTATTAACGATGAATAATTATGGCTTTGCACATTCCTTGATGCTAATCTTGCATTTCTTAATTTTATTTTGTGCTTGTTCCGGAAATAAAATGTATAAATTTTTTCCTTTTTTAAGCAAATATTATCTAAATCAGGAAACTATTGCTAGAACTTTGGGTCATCTTCCCATCTTTTCTCTGATATTTTGACAAAATCTCATCTGTGAAAAGTTAGAATTTATAAGAAAAAAGTGGGAAAAGAGTGTTGTTTCTTTGTTACTGGAAGTATTACTTATGGTTCCCAAACTAAGTGGTATGGAACTAACATACAATAAATATGGAAATGGTGTTTATTTCAGATGAACTGCTTTAATGTATCTAAACATAATTCTAAGATGAAACGACACATGTATAGGGTTCATAGCGAGGGTGTTGTTTTCAATGGATGTGTAAAGAGGTAATGTCGAGGCACTGGTTTTCTTATGCTGACGTTTTTTTTTTTTTTTTTTTGTAAAATATTCCACTAAACTATATAATTTTTTCTTTTTAGGAATTTTTTATGGTTATTTAAATAAAAATTTGTGAGATGGATCGTCTTTCGAAAGCCCTTAATGTTTTGCAAACAGCTAGAAAGTCAGATTGGATGACTGCGCCCAGGTTAGTTCTTACTGCAAATACTTTACTGATTATGCAGAAGGTCTGTATTTCATGACTGGTACCGTATAACAACATTCAGAAAATGTATTCGCGAAGTTTCATTTCTGTATAGACATTCAATCACAAATTATCAAGGATTCCTTTTGCAATATAGGATATATGAAATTTTTACGAAAAAGTATGCTAATAATTTAGCTCTACCACTTTCTTCAGTTTTACACTTATTAAAAATTGGTTTGAATTTGTCAAAATAATATGCATTTTATGTCAAATTATTGAATTAGGTGTTTTAGGAGCTTAGTTTATGCGCATGTGTTGATAAGCTTAGGTAGTGTTCCCAGGTGAGCAGGAATGTCATTTTATGACTCGTTAATTCTTGATTTTGCAGCAAAAAATCGGAAGTTTGCGAAAAAGAGTATGCAGCTTTCTCAGATATCAAAGATGTATTGATTCGATCGGAACTCTGGTTAGCTGTTTGCATATTCGATAAAAGTGTAAAACTAAATAGGTCTAAATATCTTAATTTACTACTGAACGGTATATATATCCTCTCATCAAAGTTTTCGTGGCATTCTTCATATCATTACCTTTGAAAACGGTTCAAGTCGTGCTGATATAGAATCATGTCGAAGTTATAGTTATGCCATTATTCCAGATGCTTTACCTTTTATAATCGAATGACCAAACAGCTTTAGTGATTGTGTCCTTTTTTTCACCCCTCTTTTATAGTAATTTGTTTTTCGTCTTCCAGGAAAGATCCGAAATATAACGACGAATTCAGTCGTGCAGTAGAAGTTTTGTTTGAATATATCAGTCATCGAAACAGTGATCTTCGTATGTTAAGTGAACAAACAATGGATTCAGTACTAAGGGTAAGTGTCAGTGTGAAATAAGTTGTTTCTGTTTGTTTCCGAATAGGCTAGCTATGACTGCGTTTGTAGCAACATAGAACTAGGAATCTTTCTCCATTAACCCAAATAAAGTGAATGTAGTGAATTTTGTGTAATTCGGAACATTATGTTGCGACAATTGGTATCATTTGCAGCATTTGGTCATTGATATGAATACTTCACGTGTGATTGTTTTATTAATATCAGAAATTAAACGGAATGGAACTTCCCGATCACTCGTTTTTGCGCTTTCGCGATTGCTCGATGCTCTGAAATATGTAAAAGTGAATCGTTCACGGTTAGCTAAAGATTGTTAACTGGAATTCATTGCCGTTCCATTTCGTGTAAAAAGATGCATGGGGCACGTGTTGGGTCTTTGAGCCAGCAATTAAACGTAACATTCTTAAATGGAAAAACGGCTGATTCACATTTATGTTTTCAATTTTTTTCAGAGCTATAGGAGTGCATTTGGTTTCTGCTCTTCCGAAAATCTTGATTCGTTCAGAAGAAATTGTACAGCATGCTTTGGAAAGGTATCTTCCTCCGGTTTTTGTATTTCTTGGCCCGGATTTTGAGACACAACCAAATGATATTGTATCGGTAAGTGTGAAGGATTAAGTAATCTGATGTAAATATTTGTTTTTGTGAAATCTTCGAATGTTATTCTTCAAATAAAGTACTAGTTATATCAAATGAATGATTATTTGATTTGGTTTTTATTTCTAGAAACTCTATGAAGCAGCGCTTTCGAATTTGGAACTACCTGGTGTGACGAATCGGGCAGCTACTGTCATTATAAGTCAATTGGCTACTTACGTTGGAGTTATACGCAGAAAAGTTTTTCTACATTTTCTCAGTAAATATACCATTTTTGTTCATTTTCAGCTACACGATTTCTTTTTGTTTCGAAAATTGAAGTAAAAGCCTAGTTACTTTTCTTTTTAGAAGTGTTATCTAAAGCAAGTGAACAGCAAAATAGAAATCTGTTGGTTGGGACCCTGAATTCACTTCGTTTACTGTGGTCTGTTTATTTATTGAGGAGCAGTGAATATGAACTGGATAGTCTACGAAGTGTAAGTGGAATAGTTGTTCATCTTAGTGAATAGAAATGTTGGATCTGTATTAGAAAACTTAAATTTGGTTTGCTTTTTTATTTATTCTGGGTTCATGACACTGTGTTTGATTAGAACATTTTTATGGATGCTCTTTTTAGGTGATTCGTGGCTCATTACGCTGCCTCTTTTCACCTCAAAACGAAATTGTAGTTGCTTCATTGGAATTTCTCGAAAAAGTGGTTTCATCTCCACTCGCTGCTCTTGATGTAGAGTCGTTTTATCCACAGCGGTCAAACACTTTAAATTCTGATGTAGAAAAACAGAATATTGCTGTGCCGACAAGTTTACCTTCTTGTAAGTTTTTATAGTTTTATGTTTGAAATATTATGCTACTTGTACCCATATTCTTTAATCTTGCTTTTTTTGTTTTGCAGATGCTACCAGCTGTATGAGCTCACTGAGAGCTAGTCCAATAAATTTCCCTTTTGGAAACTTACCTTCTGAAGTAGTGGATGTAGCTGATAGTAGTGTCCAGCCTTCATTTAATTTTTCTTTAAGGACTGGTTTTTCGAGCTTAAAGATGGTGAGTGACAAATTACTTATCCTTAAAAATTGAAGAATGCTGTGTTATAACAGAAATTGTGCCGTATGATAGCTTCTGAAAATTGGAAATTTTTGAAAAGTTACTGATTCCTTTTTAAAAAATACTCGCTCGCGTAACTTTTTTAGCAGAACGAGTCAAATTCGGAAAGTGGCATGGACATTATTGATCCACTAAGGCATTTAGAGATATCTGGTGATCTAACCGAATGTTCGTCAGAAGAATCCTTTCCTGAATTTACATCAGTTTCATCTATTCCGATACCCGAATATTTACCTATAGACATATGTAACTTTTCGGTTTATCTTATTGTGTAAGATGGGCGTTCCTGAAAATTGTAAAAGAATCAATGTCTTAGAAAACTCTTGACTAGTAATAATATACCTAATGTTGTTTATTTGTGGTCTTAACTGATATTTCAAAAATAAAATGTTGCAGAAGTTAAAAACCAATATGTTTTTTTTATAGCATTCGGTTCATTCCTCGCATATACAGCTGTACTTCTGGCAAAACGATTTTTGTTAAGTGGGCAATGCTTTAAATTGTTGGCTGATAGCGAAGTTCGTGTAAGCCACAAAATTTTGGCAATGTCTTGCTTGAGCAGTCTTGCTTTGTATTTGCCACAATTTGCAGATATAACTCTTCATCCGAAAGGTAATTATTTCCATTATCAAATTAAGGTTGCGAGAGCAGTCGGGATATTTGAAATTTGTTATTGACAGTGAGATTTAGGTGGTTTGGGCGCGCAAACATTGAGGGACCTCCAACTTTATCTGAATCATGAAGATGATCAATTAAAGGCCGCAGCAATCACTGTGTTTGTAAATGCTGAAAAGTGTCGGTTCCGAGCATTGGGTCAGCAGTTCCACGGTTAGCTTTCTAGCAACTTTGCATCCTTGCATCATTTGTTAGAAGTCAACAGTTCCGTCTTCCTTTATCTTAAAAAGAAACCTTTCGGGCAAATTAGGAACTTTCAATTGCAATGTTATAGAATTTAGTTGCTCTTTCACCTCATTTGTGTATGATGCGATTCGTGTTCGTCGTGCTCACTGTAGTCGTGCATTGCTGATAGCTCTAAAGTCTGCGAAGGAATTGGTTTACCAAACTGGTATTGTATACGATGTTGCAAAATTTGCTTGTGAAAATTATCAAGACAACTACTTTTTGCTTCGGGTGAATATTTTAAACTAATATTTCTGGAAGTTAAAAGGGGTTACTTTACATTTGTTGTAATAACATTCAAAAAATAAAATACATATCACAAAAAGAATTTGTCAGATTTCTAGCTGGAATAACGGTGATATCGAGAAATATATGTTGGTCTGTTTTTCAGATAGCTGTAGTGGAATATCTAGCAAGTATCGAATGGGCATTTGCGAGCTCGTCTTGTACACATCTTCCTGATGAAATTTTTGAGATATATATGCATTTGCTTGCTGATGACGACCAGCGAGTGAGGAATGCTGCGGCAAAGCATCTTTCGTTGTTCGTTTATTAACACTCGAATCAATAATTCGTGGCACAGTGAACGAATTTCTGAAAAATATAGCAGTTGTTGACAGTTAACATACTTAATATTTTTCTCCCAATGTTTACAAGTTAAAATTTAATTTGTTTTCCAGGCTAACTGAAAATGCGAACTACAATTCAACACCGAATAACATCGCACTAGAAGAACCTGCTGATTACTTCTGCTCCGATTTTCCAAAAAATTCTCTTGTATAATATACACAAATAAGATACAAAATCTCTAATTATTTGCAATAAAATAGAACGTCTAGTGATTAATTTTTTTCTCATCTTTGTTTCTTTTCAGACTATTGGTATGAGTCCACACTATGATTTTCTGCAGCAGCCATTCAATTTTTTGATCGCGGGAAACCTTTCTTATATACTTAGAAAAATGTTCTATATTTTAACAACAAGTGCGAACGAAAAACAGCAGGTTATTGTTTATTTAAAAACAGTATATCCATTTCTTTGCTCCGATTATATGTATTTTAGTATGTTCATCTGACTACTTCTAGTTCTAGTGTTTAGGTTCGTTTCTTTTTTTTTTTTTTTTCTGGTTAAGTTTTTAAGGCATATTTCACATAACATAACTCTTTATAATATGAAGATTTGTTCAAAGTAAATTAAGAACTATTTAGGCAGGCATTGCTGCTGGGCTGTTTCAACTGTTGTGTTGTTTCAAGTCAAGGCATTATGCCCAGGCCTGGGGATTGGAATCGAACGTTGACAGTTCGAGGACTGGTTTAATCACGGCTCTAATTTCAAAATGTGATTGTTGCTGTACAGATGTTCAAACTTTCATACATTTTTTAAATATTGTAACGCATATGACTGCAGGTAAATTGGTGCTGGTATTTTTCAGAAGTATTGTAATGGTCTTATGGAATTTTGCAATTTTTAGAATTTGGTCCCACTTCATTCATTGTTTTAAGAGTTACTAAGAGCTCGAACAGTCCTTCTGGGAAGTGAATTTGAAGAGTATAGCATAAAGTATTTATAAAAATTACAATCTATGTTAAGGCTTATACACAGTAAACATCATGAAGGCTGCTAATGGAAGTAGTGATGTAGTGCTGAAATTCCCTAAATATTCTATTTATGAACAACTTATTCTATTACAGTTGAGGTATGTCAGCTACTTTTTCCAAGCTAGAACTTTTCCCTATTTGGTAGAAATATCATGCAGAGTTTTATAACTTTGGAACTGATGCCAATAAATGGATTAATTATTGCTTAAAAAACTGAAAGTCTCATGCGTCATCCTGTAAGCAAGCGAAATGATTTTCTTTTTTTGTATAGTGTTCGACCATTTATATCAGCAGTCTTTTTAGTTTTTAGGGTTATTAATTTGTATTACTGTTTGATAACCGATCATCGGCAGCAAAGTGCGTGTTCTTTTTCACGGTTTTCACCACTTTCGCCCGTTCGTAAGGCACTTCCTGTTAATACCAACAGTGCAGCATCATGGGAGCAACGAATTACCGCGATTTCAACATTTGCTGGTATTGACATCAAAATGTCTAGAAATACAAGTTTCCTGCAGTCTTCTAGTCTCATTCATTTCGCTGATTCATTAAAGGGTGGTTATTTCAATTACATGGTGAGAAGCTTTTCCATCCTTTTTTTTTTTTTTCTTCATCTTTATTGTCCATTTAATTTTTTTTTACATGTTTATACTATTACCATTAATACGTTTATATTTCAGAATACCTTGGCATTTGATGCATCTGAACGTTTCACAGCTCTTTTGATTTCAGCATTAAACTGTTTAGCTTGTACATTGGAGGTGATGCGTCTGCCACAGGTTGCGGACATTCTTGAAGAGGTTGTCACGAAAGTTTACGCATATTGTTTTGGTTATCATTTTTTTTTTTTTTTTTTTTTTTTTTTAGTAAAAAACATATGAATGCATTCAAAAAACAACTGCTTACGTTTTTATCCACATTCAAACATTTATTAATAAAGAGCAAGCATGTATCCTAATACTATTAACAGCAAAATTTTTCTTGGTTAAAAGCTTTTTTATGCAATATAGATAGAAACCTTTTTCAGTCATATCACTCATGATTATTAGGAATTCTTAGCTTAAAATGTTTGGTTTTTAGGTTTTATTTTACTGTCAGACTGTTGTCGAGATCGTACCAGATGAAAGTATTCGAGTTGCAATGCAGCTGTTTAAGATATTATTTGGAAGTAATGTTGCAAATTTGTCGCTAGATGCATTGAGAAGTTTGAAATTAAATGATATTAATCAACCCAAAGGTGATTTTCTGCATATATAATTGCAAAATTGAAAAATTTTTCTACGGTTTTATTTTGTAATCTACAAAATAAAAGTTCATGTAATCCAATCCTCAATAAAAGTCTAAATTCTCATGACTTTGCTGCGCATAAATTCTGGAGCAGTGTATGTTGAAATCTAACATCATCAGTCTGTTGTTTTTTATGGTTTTCGTATTCAATTTTTCCAAATCCGAAAAAAAATATATCCAATTCTTTCAAAACCATATTCACTGTATCAAAGCTCATAAAGGTGCTCTTTGGAAGAGGTAATTGTTGCTTTTAATTGGTGGTTTTTTAATGTCGCATGTGTTAATTCTTATTTTATTTTTGTTTTATCTTTATAGATCTCCTCGAAGTTTGCGTGTTGAGAAGTGTAGATTTTTTTACAGAATTTGTTATTAACACAGGTCGAGTTGAAAATGATGAAGCTCAACTTATGAGGTATGTTTTATTTTCATTTCTTCAAGATTTAAAAGTGTTTTAGTCAACTTAAGATTTAAATAAATCTTTACCAAAATTTCATAATCATTTTGCATAGATGTGCTGGTTGGTTGCGTAAGGACCTAATTTCTAAGGATGGAATCCCCGCAAGCATGGAGATTACGCCATATGTAACCATGTTTGAACCATATGTATCATTGACAATTCGCTTATATCAGTCAACGAATTCTGTGGATGTGCAGTGCTCGGTGATTTCGGCTTTTCATCAACTCATCAAATCTTTTTTGAATTGATTTCTTGAAAGAAAAATCTATTGAAGTAAAAGCTGTAGTGAATGTGTTTCAGGTATTGAATCTCATATGTGTACTTATTCGAGGTGGAATAAACTATTCTATGCTGGATCCGGAAACTCGTTTGCTGGATTTTGTCACTGAACAAGTGAACGAGATTAGTACCCGGAATTGGTATCCTTTTGAAAATAGCTTTTCTACTAGTATATCATAATTACACCATTGGAAGGCAGTGATTTTGATATTGAGGTTTACACCATTTCTATGGATTCCAGTTTTTTTTTTTTTTTTTTTTCAGGAGTTGTTTGGAAAGTTCTTGATTTGACTGCTTTTTAGGGTAGCTGCGGATGCTGAAAAGTTGCTAACTTCAGTATTTAATTATTTCTTATCACTTTATCATACTGAAAGTCAAGGACAAGTAATCATGGAATTGGATAAAATTCGCTCATTTGTGGAACTCTTAATGAAAGCTTGTAATACGCGACCATACCTGACCCCATGTGGTTTGTGTTAAGTCTTTCACGGACTTGAAGCTTTGGCGATTAGATCGAAATGCACTGACTTTATTTCTGTTTCTTCTTTAGATTTATGAATGCTAATCCAAATGCGGTACATATTATTTATCCATCAACCAATCACAGAGATCATTTGTGTGTTAAACTATATATTATTTCCAGCCTTGAATTGTCTCCAAATAGTATTGGTTGACTGCATAATCATGCGCCTTTCTTTTGATGTTACACTTCTGAAGATATTACAAACAACCAACCAGTTAGCAGCAGTTTGCCCGACAAGAGTTCTTCAGCTCTGGACGCTTGCTGTTCTCGGTTCCCATGTCAATGGCGATGCAAAGTAATAATGTTCTTCCTTTCCATCTCTATTATGTGTTTATTTTACTGTCTCATGTAGTGATCGAATATTAATTATGAAGATGGTGATAAAAAGCCTATTTTTTGCAAATAAAAATCGTTAGCCATCTCAAATTGATTGCTGCATTATTTCTTTTCAGCTGGACAAAAACATCCTTGTTCCTGTTTGAAAGCTTGCAGCAGTTAGATGCGGAAAACTGGGACTTCAGTACAACCTTCAATGCAGTTCTTTTGTTGCGGTCATGTTACTCCTCCATTACTCGACCAACAGACGCTTTTTTCAAAAAGATGATCAGCATTTTGGAAGATGTTGGTGTTTACTCACATTTGACATAATTTTCGGTTTTTGTTTCATTAGTAGTGTTATTAATTGGTGTATTTGTTGAAATTGCAGGATTTGTGCTGTTTTTCTCGACTGCTACTCGTTCTTCCGTATCTCTTCATATTCTTTTGTGTTTTGAAGGATGGTTCGACTTTTACAAGGATCGAACAAATATGTAATCATGACGCAGAAAAGATTGGGCGGTTCGTCTTCTTACTGTTAATGTTTCTGTGTAACACGTGTTTTCTTCTTTTTTGAAAAAAAAAAAACTGATACTATACGTATTTAATTTGCACTGAACTTTATATTTGTTTCTTTTCTTCTTTTTTATAGCTTGTTAATGACCATACTTGGTCAGTGTCTGCAAGCTTTACGACGACTAACTTCTTTGGACAATATTAATGAGAAAAATAGTGAAAACTTGATGGTTTGGTATCTTTTAATTTTATCTCACGCCGTTCGTTCAGGTGAAATTTCAATTTATATATTCTCTACGTATGAGTAGCTGTTGGTGATTAATACTTCTTAAATGAAAATTTCTGCACGGTGAATCTTGTTAAAAAAAATTGAGCTATTGCGCACTTTGTGCATGTTATTATTTTGAGGTAATATGGAATCAATTACAAATACTTTTGATGCACATTTCTCAGTGGATTTTGCTGATCTTCAAAGATTATCGATATTTTATCCACGTACTTATGCACAACTATTTGCATTTGTTAACATTGCTGGCTTTCACAGGCATAAACATTTGTTTTATTCTTCTTTTTCGAAGTAAGTTATTACTGCAGCTACTAACTTTTCTTGTTTTTTGGTACAAATCGACCACATTCTTTTGGATATAATTTGCAGACAATTAGGCGATTTGTGTATGATAATGCGATGCCGAGCAGCGAGTCCAGATGGAGCTGGCGAAATTGCTCGTTTATTCGATTTTTGTTGTCCAGATATTTTGGTAACTGTCGTAGTACGTAGATGGCTTGCATGTCATATTAGGTAAAGCCTGAAGAAAATCATTTGTTTCTCTTTTTTTTTTTTTTTCTAATAAATTTGATCACGAAACAGAGAAATTGGATTTATGAATAAACATGTCTAATTTAAACAGATAGCTTGAAAAAGAGCTTATCATTCTTTCGAAATTAATGATATAACTTGAAGAATAAGAATATGCTGTTTTTTTAGTGACTTGGGCATTGAAATGCAGAAAACATTGTTAAAAAGCGTTATCGATCTGAGCAAAAATTATCGCTCTGTAAGTTTTCATAATTTCGCATTAGATTAATTTCACTAATTGTTTTTATCAAACAATTTGTTACAGTGTGCTACTGATTTGGACATTATCGAACTTATTGCATCTAGTGATATTCCGGAAGCATCTATTGCCATCGAATTTTTGAAAAATAAACTTGGTGAATCTAGAATACTGGACCGTTTGACAGCTCTTCTTCTTGATCATCAAGTAATTCTATTAAGATATGAGAAAACACCACCAGGAATTCAGTATTATTTAATCACTATTCAGTCCAGTCGCGCAGCTTTATGGCAGACATCTCTTTACATCCTGATAACTGAAGCTTAATATGCTAACCATTCCCTTTCATTCTTCCTATCTATTAGTCCACCGGTTGCTTGAACCACTTTTTAAATTCGACATCCTATTACTTTTGGCATAAACTGAGACGAATTTCACTGCAGAAGCGTTTCAGTTTGTTACATGCTTCCTCATGCAGGAATCATCTGAAATGATTTGTTTCGAACTTACTGTCATTAATTTTAGAGTGAAAGTGTTGCGTCCAAAGCATTGTTGAAACACTTCATAACATCGGAACAATTTTCTGCTGACTTCTTATTTGGATGGTAATACTGATCTCACTTAAAATCAATAAGTGCTTTTCTTCAAAGGCTTCCTACATGTATTAGGATAAATGATTCAAAAGAACTCAGTAGTTATGGTTTCATCATACAATTTATCTCTTTGAATTTTTTTATTTTATTTTATTTCCATCATTTATTTTAGTTCTGAAGAAATACCAGAATTAAGTAACAAAAAGCGCAGTCTTCAAATTGGTGATCCGTCGCGGTTCACTCCAGAAGTCTTTGCTGATATACTTCTACAAATTATTGACAGAAAAAGTCAGGTTTTGAGTTGTTAACAACATTTTTCTAAAATGCTAGAAATGCATGTGTGTCAATTTCAGATTTTGATATCCAGGCAGAATTTATTTGCACAATGTTGTTTAACGTTGAAGGGAGGTATGCGGAGATGATATTGCGAAATACGGTACCACATTTGCATAAGATCACTTTATCATTTTCAGTTTTTTATTTTTTTTTTTTTGTCGTTCTTTTTTTTTTTTTCTTTTTTTGTTTATCTAGACTTGAATAATTACATCAGCCTCTGTAGGAAGGGATTTACGCCACACTTTTGCAGTATTTTGTAAGATTTTTGATTACGAATCAATTAAATCAAATATCATTTATGTAATTTGGTTCGGTGTAATATTGCGTGTCACTAATCCACATTTATTTATAGTATGAATGCAAGAGGTACGATGTACTGTCCAGCTTTATTGACATGTTGGATCAATTTAAAATTGCTAAGGAATGTTCTGGTATGATTGCAATTACTTCTAAAACTTTTATTTAGCACACAATACCTGTAATTCCAGAAATTTGTTGCACGCATTTTTTTCATGTGTTAAGTAGTATTATGCAAGCCTTTTTTACTCAGTTCGCTTTGCAAACATTTTTGGGTGTCATGTTAACGCTCCTGATTATTTTACATATTTAGGTGGATTATATGACGAACTTTCTACATTTTCTATACTGAAAATTGACTCATTGTCAGCTTCATTTGTTTCACTTGCGTTCGATCCATCTGTCAATTCTTCCTTGCAGATTTTTGTTCAAAGTAGAATTGCAAATGTCGGTATTCATTTGATCCTTCTCTTTGTTGCTCAGATTCTTGGTTTTTATAGGTAAGGATTGGATGGATTTTCACTAGCTTGTTTTTTTACAGAAACCTGAAAGTATTGTCTATAAAAAAGCATCCGATTGGGTTACCGAAATTTCCTTATTTGATCATTGGATGCAACGCTATATCGATTCTCTTGCTATACAGGTTATTCATCACGTTTTTGCGTTGAACATGAACAATTTGATGATTTTTTTGCAAAATTACTCAAATTTTTGGTTGCTTCCTCTATCACAAATTTTGAATGTTTAGAGCGAATCAAGAACATCCGAAGTTGCATGTGCAGTTGCTTTTGGGATTACTAGGCGTTCTTTTCGTGAGATTATTGACCAAGCTCAAAATTCGAAGAAAGTTGTAGAACAGCAACTATCTTTGGCTGTTAGCGTCGCTCGGTTGGATTCAGAATTTGTTTTCCCTTTCATCATTTTCGTTTTTTGTTTTGGAAAGATTGATTGTGCATTAGTAAAGAAGTTGAATTTTTAGGTTGGTACAGTGCGTTTTCGAGCGGTGTAGCATACTATCTTACCAGGGATTGCAGAAACTGAGTGATCCGTTTTGCAGTATGAAAATAATCGATAGGACTGGGAAAAAAGATTTCGATATAGGTAAATTTTTTTACTGGGAATAAGTGTTTTAGTTTTATTCTGTCGGTTGAAAGTTAACTTGTACCAGTACTCTTTTTTTGGAAGTTGCCGATTGTTAATCTGATTTCTGTTTTGCGGAGTTAACTTGAAATTAGTCAAGTGCACATTAAGACTTCTTGACATTGCAGATTTTTTCTCTGATGCTATACGAACTGCTTTTGATGTAACGCAAAAAATTCAAGAAAATTTTCGGAAGAAACGTCAAAAAACTCGTTTGTATACTCACTTAGAAAGGCTAGCTAAGGGTCAGTTTTGTGATTTAAGTCTTCCGTATTTCATAATCACAAATCCAGCTGTGGAATTAGTTACTATTGTAATATAATTAACTTCATGATTGACATCTCGAGCTTCGTTCACATTTCTGTATACTCTTTTTTATTTAGCACTCACATATGTGAGGAGTGGGAAAGTTAAATGTACGGCAGTAAAATAAGTCACGTAGAACACTATAAAATACCAGTAAATGAATCCACCTTTTTAATCGAATTTGTTTTCACTTAGCAAAATTTTTCAGCTGTGTCAAGATTGCCGTTCTTGAATGATATTTCGTGCATACCGCGATCTGCAATTTTGTAAGTATATCACATTATTTTTTTAAATCCTATCAGCATCATGTTTTCTCTTTTCCTTATTCAGTGATATTTTGAGGTGTGGTTGGAAACCGGAACCAGAAATTCATCGTGCGTCGATTTCGATACCAACAGTGAATATTCATTACCTTGGGAATGTAGATATTTTGCATGATTTTGTGTGGCGAATTTTATGGGCCGGTTGGAATCGCCGCTCAAATTTCGACAATTTTTCAATGTCTTTGTTTGGTGTAATTTCGTCAACTCCGTCTGGTTCTGAACTTACAAGTGCTAATATGGTACTTTGCTGTTATTATGTTAAAAAAAAACTGTGGTAAAATTTCACAGTCATATTTGTGCATTTTCTCTGATCTTGTCTTTGTTAATGTTGTATGAATTAATGCATTTATTTGGGAACTTTATCAAGAAAGTTGTCCTAAAAATAATGTTTTCAGAATATGACTGAGCAGCTTGTAGCTAGTACTGTTGCTGTTGAAGGTTTAACAAACTTACTATTAGAAACTTTGCTGTATCCGGAAAGAGGTGATCCAGTTACGGGAAGGTTCATTGTGAAACCACGTGATGTATCGCCGGATTTTCTTTCATCTTCGTAAGTGTTCTTGAATAGTTGTGGTAATTATTGTTCTACATCAGACATTTCTTTTTTTCCTTAATTGATTGCTTCTGGTAATCCCTCTTAACATCATTTCTTGAAAATTGAAGTACTCTTGAAGATATGGACAACGCGTAATTATGCTTCAAGCGAAACTGTTAGGTGCTTCCGCTATCGATTCAATTCATAAAAAGAACTTAGAAATTCTAAACGATCGAGGAAGAAAGTATCGGCCGGGACAATTTTCGGTGCTTACTTCATGGAATATGGCTGGTATTCTGGAGCAAGAACGCAATCTATATAAAGATATCATGCAAATCAGTGGTCAGTCAGACGAGGTACATTTTTATGTCTCTTATTTCTTTCATGTTTTGAAGATACAAGAATTTTTCTCTTGATTTTTACAATCAAGTACTGCGATTTCTACAAAAATTGGATTCTCTAATCAGTTTACTTATTTCTTTCCTCGAGATACTTGTGAAATTGGAATTGATCTTTAAATAATTAGGTAATGCTCTTTTATTGGCTCAGTTATAATGTGGAAGACTTAAACATTGCAGCGATTGCCTTCGTCAGATAGCAGCTATCTACTGAACAGTGGTCATGATACAACGTACGAATCGTGTTTGCGAATGCTTTTCGATACTTACTCACACTGGTTTCGTTCTGGTATGGATGCTGTTCCATTACCTCTTCTGTCAGCAACAGTTAAGTCGGTATAACTTTAAATATGTTTAATAATAATCTCATAAAACATCTTTACGCTAAAAAATTAAAGAAAATGCAAAAATTACATATCTCGAAGAACAAAAATTGTACAGAGAGGGTTTTTTAAATCTCTTTATAGATGTCTTTATTATCTGATTTGTTTACGGAAATGGATCAGTACCGTTTTGTGTTTGGGCATATGAAAACATTATTTTCAATTCGTTCATGTCTTGATAATGTAGACATCGGCAATATCATTTATTCACTGTTGAAATGTGTTTCGATCCTTGGCATTGTAAGTTTTTTCCATCATCATTTTTTAGCACGATTTTTGGGTACTTTAATACTCTATCCGACAGTATTGTATTAATTCTCAATATTAATTCTTTTTGTTTCCAAAGTGTTCCAGATAGACATTAATCTAAGTCATTGTCAATAAAATGCATGGACGCACAAGCAAATGTAGTCTTATAATGCATTGACAGATATGAACAATGAAATACAGCAAGCAAAAATGAAATTATTGCTAATCCCTTTTGTAGAATAGACTTAAAACTCACTGACGAAATTCTCAGTTTCACTGTTATTCGGCCTAATTGATCAGTTTTATCAAGTTTACTGTTCATATCCTATGTTTTTTTTTTTTTTTTTTTTGTAATAGTGTTTGTTTTACTTTAAAACATTTTTTATTCATTAGGTTTCTGCTCCGCATTGAGTACATGAGTCTTGTCATGTAGCCTCGACCTAACAGTTTCTGAAGTGCTGGTGTTGAATATCTCGGATCTTTTAAAGAGTTATTTAAATTAGCAATCCTTTCAGGAAGACTCGTTTATACCCAAAGTTGATGCACAGAAAATAGTTCTAACATGGGTTGAAACTGGTCTTACTTCGGAATTTACTGAAATCCGAATCAGAACGCTACAAGGATGCCTGTTTCTGCTTCAAGCAATTAGTTTTGATGAGTTAAAGGCTGTATTTCTTTTCTTAGAAGCATTTCTGATGGATTATTCACAAATAAGGTAAATGACTGGCTTGACTTATGTCTCTATGGTATTCTTATTCTTTTTCCCCCTAATTTTACTTTTTTGCTCATAACCGTAGAATCAACATGAAATCAGCTTTTATCATCATGAAATTTGGTTTGTACAAAACTCTAAATTGTACATTTTTGAAGTGGTTGCGGTTTATATGAATATGAAACGACATTGTGGACTGCAAGATTTTTCTTTTTCAACAACCCTTCTTATTCTTCAGACAATTCACGGGCTGCATTTCTCAATGTAAGTTATATTTATCGTATGAAAATACTTTTTCTGCGAACTTTGTTAAAACCGTTAGCAATATTTTTTAAATTATTGAAGTGAAGAATGTTGCTACCTGTATTTGTATTCGTTATGCAGCAGATTTGAAACTGACCAAACACATTGGTTTTCTTCAGATGATATGTGAAAAATTTGCCGCAGTTACAACCCCTGGCTGGTTGATGAATTTGATATCTGTGGGTATTGAAAAACTAATCGTTGGTTCTCGAATATATGTGCTCACTTTCAGTCGTGTTGCCGTTCGTCAGTTGTTGCTTTTGTTTCTTTTATGGATTTATTTTTTCAAATTAATGTCCTGTGATATGACTACTTTCGATTTACTTCGCATAGACTTACTTGAACCACTTTATTGTTACTTTTAGAAGCACTGGAAAATTATTTCTATGTACCACAAAAATTTTTGTATGCACTTCGTATCTTCATTGTGTGCCTATATCGAGGTTTAGAAGAAGGAAGAGTACAACATTTGGGAATTCAACCGTATGATCCACGTATTCATCTTATGGAACAGCATGCAATGATATTCAAAATGTAAGTTTGTGACTATGCTCATTTTTATTAACAGATAATTACAATGAAAAGCTTAAAGCTGTTATTGGTTAAATTCTTATCTTAAAAGCTAACGTCTGTTTTACAAAACCTTTTGCTCACTTGATTTTGGGAGATCTTTTTTTCAGTTGATGAATTTCAGTGCGAATTTGATTCCTATTTTTCAGACTTGCAGAGGGTTCCGAAGGTGATGCATCGCAATTAATGAAGGTATTGCCGTATTTATTAATAGATTCGCTGAATCAAAGTGAACTTATAAATAGCATTCTGAAAGAACTGATCCATCGATATGCAGGCCCTCATCCACGTTCTGCTGCCATTTTTAGAATTATTCATCATGTGAGTCGTCTGTTTTTTCTGTACATATGCTTTATTATGAGTGATGAATGTTTTTTTCTATCATTTAAATTCATTTCTTTTGAAATTTCAGTGGGAGCTTAACTGATTTAACTGCAGGGAATTTATCCTTTCCTTTGATGAATTATAAACTTTGTAGTGGTTTATCGTTCTGCACAGCCGTGAAGCTGAAAATGTTGTGCTGGAATGGACTCTAAATGGTTTGGAGTCTTTCAAATATGTAGTCGATCCTGCATTGTTCCGATTTTACGTCAGTGCATTTCTTTGTTCATCATCACCAAATCCATGCATCGCTAATTTGTAAGCATCTTCTTAACTTCATTTCCAAGGATAAAAAGGTCTTTCACGTTCTGTGATGGGTTATTTTTGTAGTTTTTTTTTGCACAACAGCTTTTTTTTTTTGTGAATCAGGTATTTTTTTGATGTCAGTCAAGTTTTTAAGTAAAAGGATTTCTTGTTTATTATTATTTATTATTATTAATTATTTTTCTTATTGTTGTTATTATTGTTCTAACTATATAATTATTGATTATTAATGATTATTATTAACTATTATTACTCTGTCATGGTATTGGACGTCTCATTTGATGACTTGCTGTAGGTAATAATGGTCAGAAATGTACGAATTCCTGGATGCTTGATGTCTATTTATGGAAGGGACATATATTTTCAAAGTCTACAAAATTTTCTCGAACAGTTGGATTAGAAATTTTCTTAAAAGTTAAAATTCCACTTCAGATATTCATTTTCATTTTAAAAAATTGTAGGTTTTATCTTGTCATTGGACGCACATCAAATTTAGTTAGGATCGACGACTTTCTATTTGAATTTTCAGTGCAATCTTTGCTTTTACGGGTTTGTTTTGTTTTGTTTTTTTTTTTTGTTGCGGAACACTACCGTTTTAAATTGTCATCTTTTGCAGTCCCCAATACTTCATTTTTCATATTTCTCTTCACATGTATTTAAAGCCTGATATTAAGAGAGTTCCAGGTTCTGGAAATCGGTTCCTGATGTAGTTGTTGGTCTATATGAAGAAATATTGAGATGTTTTTTCCATAATTATCCTTACAGATGGAAAAGGATGCAAGAAATGGATTAAGATTGTCTATGGAGAAGTTTGTATTAAATGGAAAAACATGCCGAGACCCGAGAAGAATAGCGTCTTTTCCACAGCTGTAATTCATTTCTCGATATATGAACTTCAGGTTATTGGATCTTAGATGTACCTCTAAATACTGATTTCTTTCTACCGAAAAGAAAGAAGACGTTTATCGCTAATATGTTTGTTATTCCCACTTTGCACTAGAGGGTTTCTTAACAAGCTGTGTTATTTATTATCTTGAATCTAGTGTTGTTTTTTTACAATTCTTGTAATTCTTTTTAAAACATTTTAATTTCATGCAGTGTACATTATTCCCCATCGTGTCTGCATACTTTTATAATATATTGCTTAAAATGTTTTGTATCCTGTAGTTTATTTTTCCTCAGTTCCGTTTAATAATAATATGCATGTCGATGAATAGTAACACGTCATTATCGTACTGTTTCGTTAAGTACATATTTTAATAAAAACTGATTTATACAAAACAGCAATGTGGAGTTTCCCTGTAAGAATTAAGCGTTATGGAATTTATTAAACAACATCGCAACAATAACCCAAATGAAATTGTGGTGTATATAATGTACTCAAACTTAAGTCTAATAAGTCTATCTAGCTTTTACAGCAAGTTGATATCTATTATTTCGTTATGCTTAGTATATGACTCGGAGAATTTTGCCTCCAGAGTCTTATCTGTATTTTTTCTCACACCCTACCTGTATATTAATTACAAAACACCGCATTCACATGATATTTAGGAAAGTTCTCCTTCAGTACGTACTTCATAGTGAAACGAAATCGAAATTATGAGTCAACGTTATTTCGATACAATAGAAGAGGTTTTGTCAGTTGTGAGTAACTGTCCATGAGTGAGTGGTAAGTGAACGAATTTGATAACATTCTCCAAAAGGATTAAAGAAAGTGGTGATCGATGATAGGAAATATTTCTATTGAAGCTAATAAGTTGAGCATACATCCAACTCGCGATCTGTTCAGTGTTGAATGTTTAATACTGAAGGTAGTAGCAATTTTTAACTGCTGAGAAATTCATGAATGTGAGGGAGAGATCTGAGAGGACAGAAATGAGTCGTGTGCATTCTAGTTTGGTTGATTTTTGATGTCTTACAAGAAGTAATGGGAGAAGAAAATTTAAGGTGAGTGGAGGGGGAGAAGCGATTAGTTGTGCAATCGCGTGATAACGTTTGCAGCAGTTGGCAAGAGGAAGCGTTATTGATTGCACCCGCCAGCCGATTGCTATTGAAGCTTTCGGGATGAGAGTGTTGTTGCACACCATAGCCGACAACGACATAGGCGAAGCTGGGTGTACGTTGTGACAGGCATACACTCCTACGGATGGGAAGAGAGGGAGGGGACATTAGTAAACGTTCCAACAGACACTGAGTTTGACAAAGGCATACACGCTCTCTCACGCACGCTATTTCTTTAGAACCTTGAGTATACGTTCATCCTTTGTGGTACGTAACTTTGGGACATAATTACTGCACTCTTGAAAGTATTGTTGACCGTGAAGCGTTCGACGATTTTAAATGGCACAGCGTAAGTTCGTTCCTACCAGAATTCTATGTTTTATGATCTTCATCTGGTAGTAGATGATAGCGGTATGGAATTCCGAAGGGAAGCTTAATTTCAATTTGTTGCATGTTGTAAGAGTGGGATTCAAGTAGGATGGAATAGGTGTGAAACCTACTGTTTTTGTCGTCCTAGTCTTTTTGTTGGAGGAGCTGTGTCACATTGCAGTTCAAATAGTTAATTCATTTTCACTTCTGTTTCACCGCACTTAGTGGCATGCTTCCTAACGTTATTCATGCTACTGTGGCATTCATCGATAGTTAAAAATATTGGTTTTGGCTCCCAATTCATAATGACATCTGCAAATGTTTGTATCCATCCATATATTTGTGTTGCCTGACGGCTTTCTTTGATATGTTGAAGTGGATCTGTGAGGCTTTTTACGCTTTTTGCAGGTATTTAGTCACATTCATTTAAAGAAAGAAAAGAAATGCACATTTCAATGCTCCGTTAAGTTTTGTTGGCAGAATGTTAAGGAAGGTAGACTTAGACTAAACGTTATCAAGAAAGAAAGAAATTGGAATTCGTAATATAAAACATTAATTGTAGGATCTTTGAAACCTCATAATATAGGAACCATGGATTAGAAAAGAATAGGAAAAAAGTATATGATAGAGATCCGGATTCGGAAGTAATATATTAGCGTTCTTACGGTAAACCAGAAATTCACATCACATCACATCACAATTTTTTTTTTTATATACATCACAAATATTTTGATATATTTAATCTTATGTGTTTAGTTCTCAGCAGAATTTTCTTTCGGTTATTTCCTTATTTCATAGCACTGAAATGACTTAACCAGCTTTAATTATTTTGCGCAAAGAAATACTACAGTATTAATATTTTGTGACAGAATGCTTTCCAGAATAATCTTTACCTGATAAATAATTGTATTTTACTTACTTTAGTAGTATTTCAGGCCGAAAAGTTCCTGAAGGTGAACTCTGTGCAGTGTGTTCAGATCTCGCAACAGGTTATCATTATGGTGTGGCGAGCTGCAATGGATGGTTAGCGTTTCTGTACTGTTTTTTTTGGGGAATTTATCAGCAGGATTTTCAAGACTTTTCTGGTGAAATTTGAGTAGAATATGCCTTTTCACATACATATATTTGGATTGCATAGCAGAAGCTAAACAGTCTTTTTAACGTTTTCTATGCTTTTTCTTTGAAATACATGTAACTTATACGCACTTCAGCAAAACATTCTTTCGTCGTACCATTGTATCAGAGCACACGTTTGTCTGCCAATACCAGGGTAACTGCGATGTCAATAAAAGTAAGTTATTATATGTAAAGTTGTGCTGTACTTTCTACTATACTGTACAAAATATCTGTTAACTTTTATTAAAGAACTGCTAGTAGTTTGTCTTTTTTTTTTTTTTTTTTTTCCTTGAGATATATTCATTCATGAAGTATCTCCAGCATCGAGTTTTTCTTAAAGTTTTATTGATTATTGTAAATTCTGTAGATATCCGTTGTGCCTGTCGACATTGCCGGTTCAATAAATGTGTTGCTGTAGGAATGGATGCCAAAGGTTTGTTGCTCGCCTTCTTGTCGTTAAATGTATTTAGTTGTAGGATTTTATTAGATTATATGTATTTAGTTTAGTCATGTAGAAGGTTCTTCAGGACAAATATAGGCACTCTTTTCTTTCTCTTTGGTTATGAAATCTTTTTTAGCGATCCAGAATGATCGCGATCGCATTGGACCAACCAAGAAAATGAAAATGAGTAATCAAAATTCTGAAGATGATTGTGCAGTTCATATTCGTTCGGCAGAAGAAAGGGTAAAACATGTCTGTGTTTTCGCTGATGTTTTATCTTGTGATAGTATTCGTCGCATTTTACATTTTGGTAGCTGGTGTGTAATTAGTTATCAACACGATTGAAAAAATTGATGGATTATTTTTTGCAGCTGATAGAGCGTTTGTTGGCAATTGAAAAGTTGTGTATGAGGTTACGACAGTGTGTGCTTCCTGAAATCAATGGACTTAAAGAAGCTGTTTGTGAACCCTCACTTGTTAACGAAGTTAATAACCTTAAAATAGATGTTAGTTTTTATAATGGTGCAGCAGGATTCCGCATAATTCCGATTTTCGCAGTGGATAAATGTTTATTTTAGGAATAAGTGATTTATTTTTTATCCAGCTGCTTCAAAATAGTTGTTCACATTGTAAGAACTGCTTCATTTTATTCAGCCATACACAAATACGAAAGAGTTGTACATTGCAACATTAAAAGACATACAAATGTGGAATAAACGAGAAATGCGAGTGGGCTTAGAATGGGCAAAAACCTTCGATTTATTTAATCAGCTGTCTTTGGATGATCGAGTAAGTTTGACTTTTTCGTTCTTTGATTATTTATTGTTGTTAAGGTTCTGATGGTGATGATTTGTCTTATTGCTTGGCAAAAAGAAAGAAACAAAAAATGTGAAATTTTATGTACCATTTAGTCACTGCAGATTGCACTGATAAAGAATTTTGGATTTACTTTCAATCTTTTAAATCGAAATTATTATGCACCTGACCATGGTGCTGATAAACTCGTATTGCCTAACGGTGCCTATATTCGGCGTCAAGTTCAAAACGAAGTTAAGTTGCCTGGTTGTAGGTAAGTTTGCATTACAAGTCTGATTCCATTTTGTTTAATCCTATATTGTTTATGTTATCTATGAATGCTTGTTATTACTTATGAGTTTTAGGCGATTTTTCTAAAGAATTTCATACACTGCTTATAGGTCAATTTATCACCGACAAATGGATGAAATTATGATTCCATTCAGACAATTGAAAATCACCATGCCCGAATTTGCATTATTCAAAGCTAGCGTCTTTTTTAACCCTGGTTTGTTTCAATAATTGATTAAGAATGCATTACTAACATATTTCAGGTATTTGTTTTTCAGACGCAATCAACCTTTCCTCTCTAGCAAAATCCCAAATTTATGCCGAAAGGTCAAAATATTTGTCAGCACTGTTTTATTTAATAACTTCTAAATGTGGAATAACTATGGGTGCACAAAAGTATGGCAGTTTGCTTATGATGGCCTCTTCAGTACAGGTAGGTGTTTTATATAAGTTTTTTGGTAATTAGATCATTTTCGTTTCTTCAGTAGAAGTCATTTTCAACAAGAGATATTTGTTGATCAAAATTCTCACTTGTTTTAGAACATAATTGCTCAAAACGAGGAAAATATGCAAGTTATGGATTTCTTTGAAGAGAATTGGAAAATGGATAATTTTGTTAAAGAAGTGTGTTTGAAAGATCCATGAAATACGGATACTGAGAAGATGGGATTTATTTACATTCATAATCTAAGTTTTCGGTGTACTTATGTCTTCTTTTTTAACATACTTAATTTGTTGATTTTACTAACCATTTTCAGAAGTTTGTGTTTTTTCAACAATGACCTGCCCATTAATGCCATACACCTTCTTTTGGGAAAGATTTTATTGTTTCAATTTTTTTCTTGTCATTGTATTAGAGTTAGTAGAAGTAGTGTTTTGATAGTCGTGCCATATACATTATTCTCTCATAAGTTTGGCATGGGTATATATTTGTTTCTTGAATGTGATGCAGTTGTTTGTTTTTTGTTGTTCGCTAAATTATTTGATCTTTTTTTACGGTGATATGCTAATATGTGTAGGAATTAATCAGGAAGTTTCGGTGAATTTTTTGTCTCTTATTCTTTGCTTATGCCTTTTATTGAGCGAAATTCCAAGAATGTAGAATTTCGAAGATCTCGTCATATGGTAAAAAGTGATTTGTAAATGTGAAACATGTAGGAGAAAATAAAGTGACGCATGGCTAGATATGAAAAAAGCAACGTAATAAAATTCTGTTCGTATTTTACTGGGCATTTTACATCATTTCTGTGCTGTACATAGGAAGTATATGAAAAACGATGGGTTGTTCTATGTAGATGGTTGCTCGTTATTGCATTTCTTTTTTGGTGTTTCTTTGTCGCGAGGTGTAAGAATATTCGGAGAACAAAATTTTGGATTTATGCGAGAAGATAAATGAGAACGTTGAGCGGTACAGGCTAATTCCAGCCGAATCTGTAGTGTTAAGTGGATGGTTGGCCAGTGTGTAGCAAGTACTGAAGTTACAGTGGGACACTCATTTGCAGTTTTTTTCATTCGTTGATTCGAGCGCAAACCGTGTGGAGCGTTGTGTTGTTTTTCGGAATTATATGACAACTTTGATAACTTGAAGGGATGTTGAGTTTAATGTACTGAGTCCAATTTTTCACCTAAAATAGTTCTAACGGAAAGTTTAGAAATATTCCTGTTTTGCTTTACTTAAAGGATACGTATAATTCATTAATAGAGGCTATTTTCTATAGTTCTGAGAGGAATGTAGAAAAACGAGGTTCCAGCTGTGCCTATTTTAACAAAGCGCCAAAAAGGTTTAACCAAACATATTGTAATGATAGCTTGATTAAAATGAAGATAAATTACCGTGATTTAGGGTAGTTACCGGATGTCATCCTTCAGAAGCTGAACTTTGTTGAGAAGGTTGACACTGCGGTACATTGCAGGGAGGTTGATACTCGACTCGTCGATGTCGGCGCATTTAGTTGGTACAGTCAATAACAGATCTTCTGATCTTGGTTTGATCGGATTTTTAAAAAACAATAATGGTAAATGGGAATGAAAATATAAATGTACTTGTGTATGTGAAAGAATTTTTTAAATACTAATATCAACATGTCACTTTCCCCTTCTGTTCTTCTTTTACTATCTTTGTCTTGAATTCTCTCTTTTTGTTTTTCTGTATTCTTCTGTAATGGGAAGTATGCGAACCTGCCACTGCAAGGCTTAGCTCATTACCAGTGCATGACTTATGACGTGCTAGATTTTTGGTGTTTGGAATTGTTGTTGTCTTATATATTCTTGCTATCAAACAGCGCTAACCGGTAATCATCACTGATTGCATATTTAACTTAAAGTTTCATTAGCGAGAGTATCTTTTTTAGAGATCTTTAACTGTTTTAATTCAACTTCAAGACCACAAGTGAATAGTTAAAGTTTGACCTTCTTGCTTTATCAGTTATTTGCCCTTAATTTATGTATTATTATTTACCATTTCGTTTAATTCGTTCTCATTCTTGTCGTTCATTTGATTAACTCTGATGACCGCGGGTCCAAGATTACATGAACCACTTAACGTAAAATTTGTTTTTTAAGGTGTAAGTGCAATAGATCAACAAAAGAGATTGCTAAATCCTTTTTTTCGTCCACGGCTTTACAGTAAACTTGAAATATTAAATGCATTCTATTCCCATTATGAAAAGTCAACTTAAAAATGGTATGTTGGACTGGCTCGAAATAGTTAATAAGGCAGGTGGAGAAGCTGCATGGGTTACACAGCAAAAAAACTTCCCAAAGAGAAACGGTAAACGACAAAAACCAAAAGATTCAAACGAAATAATAGAAATGATTTTAAAAACAGAGTTTGTACAGGTAAGTTTTCATGGTTGAAATCATCTACGAACTTGTTCATTGTCCTATTGGACTTAATATCCGTCCTTGGTAAGCTTTTCCTACGAAGCTTGTCCTTTATTTAGAGGGAGGTGAAGTATAATTTACTTGTTTATTGGCCTAATTGATCAATTGAATATTCAGAAGGTTATAAGAGAAGAGTGTGCAAAACGGAATACTACGAGAAAACTGTTGTCTGATGAAGCAAGGTTAATATTATGCAGCATAGCGCACGAAATGCAGATGCTAGTTATACGATCAGTTGGCTACGTGATTGCAAAAACAGTCCGGGTATGCTTTACCTTGAATTTGGTTTTGCATTTCAGTATTAACAAATTAATTAATACTTTCCATCATTCTCTTTGGAAGAGAGCAAGCACGGGTGTGGATTATGTTACCTTCCTAAAGCTTAATTTTCTTCTAGGACACCACCACTTTCAGATGGCTATTGACTTGACTGTTGTTTCAATTTTTTACCGGTCTTCAATATTAGTTTTGTTACATTTAACAAATAATTTTACTTTATTGAAGATAATATATAATGGCATTTATTTCAATGATGAACAGCTGTTGCGAATACGGGAGTGTTCTATAGATGACCCCATTATTTTCATGCCAACACACAGGGTATTTTATCGGTTCTTTTAGAACTTTTTCTGGTTCTTTTTATGCTCTCAATTTTCAAAATTCCTTTACAAGATATTTTTTGCAGAGTTATATGGATTTCTTGGTTGTTTCTCTTCTTTGCTTCAACCATAATTTGTCATTGCCGGTCATTGCTACTGGATTGGATTTTATGGCTTCAAGATTTTTGGGTGAGACTTTGCGCCGCTGCGGATCCTTTTTTATGAAGCGACAATTTCGAGAGGTTACATATTTCAGTTCTTTATTTTGCATTGAAATTTGTATGCCAAAACAAAAAATCCTTGGTTTTTTTTGCGCACTTCATCAGACTGGCAGACTTATTTTTTCTTGGACTTCTTTAAAACTGTTATATTCTTGCAGGATAAACTCTATTGGTCACTATTCAGCAGTTATGTGCAAATGCAATTGCGCGAAACGGATAATCCGGTTGAATTTTTCTTAGAGGGCACTCGTAGTAGATCAGGCAAAAGTCTTTACCCAAAATTTGGTTTGCTGCAAATGTGCATGGAACCATTCTTTCGGTGTCAGTTATATGATTTGGTTGGTTTCAGCTTCTTTCTAGAAAAGGATTTTAAATCATTGTTATTAATTATAGTGCCAAATGTTTTCCTTTGAAATTTAAAGGAAATAAATAAAAAAAAATGTCGTTTCTTTCATCTGATTGTTCAGATTGTTGTTCCAGTTACGATCGATTATGATAAAGTTTTGGAAGAATTTCTGTATGCTTACGAACTTTTTGGCTTTCCGAAACCACGAGAGACTACAGCGGGTAAATTTTGTGATTAAAATATTGACCATCCCTTGGATGTACCAAAAGTTATTGATTTACAGGGCTTTTCAAATCGCGCGAAATTCTCAGCAAATGTTTTGGTCATATATATGTAAATTTTGGTGAACCAGTTTCCATAAGGAAATACTTCGATGGGAGAATAAACCGCTGGCATCCGCCTTGGCAGGTATAAATGTAGATTCTTCTGCTAGCATTCTGGTGAATTATCCTCATTATATATATATATATATATATATCACAAAAAAATTTTTTTTAAATTCATAACTACAAATTATAATGTTTAAAGGGAAAAAGCTGATCTCTACCATCAAAATTTATGCAACCATGTATTGTAAATTGTATATCCTTCAAAATGCAATAATTTGTATTACTTAAATTAGTTTTATCCGGAGAGTAACCATTATTTGTCTATCCTAATTTGGATGTGTTGAACTTTAAACCTAACACTTTGTATGCGTTAAGTTTATTTTTGCATTCTGCTAGCATAAGTTTATATATATAATTCACATTATGAGTATCGTCGGATTTATAACTTGTTTCAACTGATATACTAATTCTTACAGGCTAGTGTGGATAATGAATTGTCAGATAATGAAAAAGAAGCAGTTAAAAACTTTGGGCTTTATATAATACAGCTTCACAATTTAAATAGTACCACAACTATTTGGTCTTACACTTGTGCTGTCTTGTTGCAAGTACTTTTTAAAAATTTTATGATTTTTATGGTGCTTGATTTTTATTTTTGTAGATAAATTGTACGATAATTGGATCTATTTCTTGTTCTTAGCTGTTAGATGGCTTTTAATCAACATTTTCCTTGCAGATGAAGAGCGCAGGCCATAAGAAGTTGATGTTTAGTAAGCTACAGAGTTCTTTGGAAGACTTTGTCACACTGAGCAAAAGGCTGGGACGTCGAATTATCATTAGAAAAAGCATTAAGGATGATTTGAGGTTTTTACATGTGTCACCGATACTTATAACGTTAAACTCATTAAATTAAAAGAGCTTGCAGAAGTTACGGATCTTCGCATAAACTTGTGCTCATAATGTGAAATTAAATTGAATTAAAAAACTTTCTTACAGATATCACTTGAAGTTGCACTCCGATCTTTTTCAATATGATGCTTTGTTTCCAAATTCGCTAATAGAACTGAGGCGTTTCAAATGCATCGAAAATAATGGCTTAAAGAAGGAATACATAGAAAAGATGTTGTGCGAAGTGATTCTGTCATATTATGCTAATCAGGTAAGCTGCTCTAATTATAGTATTATAGTTATGTGAAGCATGTTCTAACTTAAGAAAGATGTTACGCTGATAAGAAAGTTTCTAGTATTTTACACCGCATTTATGCCTTCCAAAAAATGTATTTTGTTGAATTGGAATCAGTCTGTTGAACATTTGTTCACATCCCGAGTGAATCTTTTATTGGGCAGTGTTGATTAAATTTTTTTGCTGTGCAGAGAAACTCACTTATTTAAACTACAGACTAATTATAGTCACATCGAAGCTTACTGTTCTGAAATGTTTGTGTTGTTATTTCATCATTGGGACTTACTTAATTTTTCATAAGTCTGAAGTTATAAAGTACAAATAATCAAAATTAAACAATGCTCTCTTACACGGAGTCTCTATTATTTTGCATAATTTTTAACCGCTTATTAACTTAATCAGTAAGCTGGATTTAAGGAATCTATAGAAATATTGGACAGTACTATTTATCGCAAGTATTTGTAAGCTGAAAATCTTAAATTTGACTTGCTGGCACACTGGACTCTTTCATTGGTCCGCAACATTTGCTGTTTGAAACGCAGTTAAAAAAAATTCTCAACAATTACTGCTTCGCTGTATAAATTCCAAATTCAAGAACTTAAACGAACAACTTATTCAATAGTTATCTGGAATGATCTTTTCCAAACTCGCATTGATAGCTACAACTATTATGCGTTATATACATTTTTATAGATGATGCATGGTTTTGTCGACATAAGCTTGTTATGCCATGTGTTATTGTCCATTCAAATGCTGTCAAGAGCAAATCATATATTCCGGTATTAACAGTTGATTGTTTATTGGTTTTAAGTAGCGAGTAAAAAAAGGTTAGAAAAATAAGGAAAAACAAAACCTGGAAATCTTATGTTCCTTTTAACTATGGTGGGGATAAATTTTGCCATCGCTTCACCTTACATCTCGAATTCATTCTTATCATCTCTACTTTTCAGGGAACTTAGGTCATTATTTGTTTATGAATTCGTGTGTTCGTTGCAAGAAGAAGAAATTGATAAGTTGTTCGCAGAGAGTCTCAGTTGTTTGTTGCGAATTTCTGCCATTTCACTGGATAATGATCATATCATTGTAGAAGAGGAACAGATATTGAAACAGATTGCCCTCCTCATGCAGGTAATGTAGACCATAAAAATTGAAAGTGAAAAAAAGCTTTATTATTAAAAGTTAGCTAATGTTGGTGTTGGCAGTTGGTGTATTAGCCATTAATCTCACTTTTGTTTTTGATGTATTACATTTTACTCCCAATACGCTTTATATATTACACTTACATTTTCCATATTGCATACACGTACTTTTTCCAGCCTTTCATTGCCAGATATTACTGTGTAATGCAGTGTTTGGTACAGCTAGTGGGTACTCAATTTACAAATGAAGTGCTTTTCGAAGAATCGCTACAGCTTGCTGTAAATCTGTTTGCTAGACAGCAAGGAAACAGCACGTCCCGGTCAGTATGTATCACATCGGATATAACTCGAAATGCATTATTAGCATTTTGCAGATTGCAGGCTATTTGCAGACGTGTAAGTTTACTGAAACAGTCAAAGAAGAGTCGTTTAACGATATTTTCATTATCTGTTAACTGTCTTATAAGCTGTTAACAAGTGCGGAAAATTCTAACCGTTCTAAGAACTAGGTAAAGTGTTGTACCAGGACAATTCATCTGATTCATTTATGGATTTAAATAGTTACTAGAAGAATTCGCAGACAATAACACAGTGACATGGAGAAATGAAAGAGAATTTCCAGAGTGAAAGAGAATATGATGTTAATATTTATCGTGTGCAAAGAATGATGGGACTTCTGGAAAGCACCAGTATGGCCGAACTTCCTTTTGATAAGCAGTCGTTTGTTTCAAAAATCTAATTAACATACGAACAAAAATGTTGAAGCATATCATCAGTAACCAGCATAGTTGAGGAGCGGACGCAATTTTTTCTTGCTTGCTACTACCATCATCTGTTTTACGTAATAAATTTACATAATAATAAAATGATTTAGCACTTGTGTTTTTTTCAATATTCGTGTAATGTGTCATCACTGTGGTTGTTTCCCACTTTGTCCGATGTTCTGAGTAACCGTTCAAAATGAGTGACCTTAGCATTTCCTACAGCTAGCCAGCATATGCATGGGATGTTATCAGTTCACCTGGTTTGTTGACCTCATCCGTGCAATGGGTCTTCATTTATTTTGGCAACTGGACTTACTTATTTGAACACTTACGTGAAGTCCATTAATTCAGTACATACTGTATGACCTCGAAATATGAGAGGCAAGGTTCTTTACACCGATGAGGAACGATTCAATCTCAGAATAAATTACTCCATTAGGAGGTGACATAGTCCGTACCAGGTGGTCGAGTCAGTATTGTTGCGGTTTGTTTCGATTTCACTGTGGAAGTCGGTGTTGGGGCGGGAGATTTCGAATTTTTAAAGACTGAAGTTGGGGCAGCGGTATTTGTTTTTACTTTTGGCGCGTGGTGTGCTAACTGATGTGCTGTATAGCTTGTTGGACATTGAATAATGTAGTAAATTCAAGTTGAGGAAGTCAATGAAGTGAAATCGACAATTCAGAGTCAATTAGAATCATAGATTTCACAAAATGCTGGATGGGATTCTGTTTTTTGTGTATAACATAAATCAAGAAATAATCTCAGTTGTTGTCTCGCCAGTGACACATGCTTATTACAGCTGTTGAAATGGTACGAACCAAAGCGGATGTAAGGCGATACGACTTATCTTCTAGTTCCTCGAGGAATAATTCAGCTGTTGAAGGTATTTCGTCTATGTTATAATTGCCATTACATTGAAACTGTTTAGCAACTTTTATTAGCTTGCTTGGGTTACTCCTTTTAGTGGGTTGTAGAATGCAACTTTGCAATGAGTACTGTATTCTAAAAAATTATTAAAAGAAAACTTATTTTTAATGAGTCATCAAGCAAGAATTACGGGTATTTCCGTACATTCATCTGTTGTGCAAAAGGTTCCTAGAAAAACTTTTGGCTCATATAAGGTTCCGTGGTTTGCTTTTATTTTTATTTTTTTTTTATTTGTGATGGTTTCAGACTTTGTACTACCTCTAATACACCATCAAAATACTTCTGCAAAACTGAGGTTGGATTTTGAATCATGAGTTTACTTCCGTACAAAGGTAAAAGCAAAAAAGGATGGTGTCTTGGAGCGGTCATTGACAGTTTTCTCTCTCAACTACTAAATTTTGTTAAGAATTAAGCAAACTTTTTCCTAATGTCAAATTGGCAGTTTTTTTTTTTTCAGGACGTGAAGAAGATTGGAAAAAGATAATCAATGAATCTGAAGGAGGTTTGAATCGCAGTGGTGGGCATCCTCGATATGGTCATAAAGCTGTGCGCGATTCAAGGAAGCGTTCTCGACGCTATAGGTATGTTTTGATCTTTTAAATCTACTTTGTGAAATGAAAGGTGATTCATGTCCCAGTTCACAACTAATGGTTGGACTTAAAAAGTTGAAATTTCAGACCAGGCATAAGAGCACTTAAAGAAATTCGTAAATATCAAAAATCGACAATGTTGTTGATTAGAAAACTGCCATTTGCTCGTCTTGTTAAGGAAATTGCAAATGAAATGTCTGATTCTTCTATTGGGTATCGTTTTGCAGTGGAAGCAATCGCTGCAGTTCAGGAGGTTCTTTACATCTTCTAGATTAATTTCTAATAAGATGTTTTCCGTCTTGATGACCTCAAGGATTCTTACAAACTTATGTAAATAGTACATCTAAAAAGAATTTACTTGTACTTCTCTGTTAAGAATAGATAACTCCTGTTTAGAATAGGAGTTGATAACGTTAGGTTTAACGGACATGAAAACGTTTCACTAAACAATGTAATGATTTCAAATAACTGCTCCATTCACATATAAACGTTATGCGTTTTTCAACTCATAAACAACGCTCTGTTGTGCTGAATATACAACGGACAGTTTTCAAAAAAAAAAAAATTGTCCAGTTTAGTAAGCACTAACCAAGTTAGCCTATTTTTGGATATCTGTCACATATAGGTTATTTAGTAGTATTGCTTTTCATATTCATCCTTTTGTCCGAAATGGAACATATATTAGGTTATTTTAGGAGCATCCAAATCACCCTTGTTTTGTTTACTGTGGATTTTGCTGAGAAGCTTATGGGTAGCTGTCGTTTTTTCAAAATGAGATGCAAATAACTTATCGATCCTGTTCTTATTTCAAATATATGAACAAAGAAGTTTGGAAGCATCGATAGCAAGGAAGAACATGTGGATGATGAAGTTATCAGTATGAATTTGCTTTGTAAAGATGATTATTTTTCATTTCAGGCAGCAGAAGCTTTCATGGTTCAATTTTTTGAAAACGCTCTGTTGTGCAGCCAGCACGCTAAACGGATAACAGTAATGCAACGTGATGTCCAGCTTGTTCGTCGGCTATTCAATATTTGAAAACAAAAAAAGCAAACGACGTTTGAGAGTGATATTGAGTGTTTAAAAAAGTGTCGTATGATTTTCCGTACGTATGAAGACATCCCCTAATTTGTTTTCATGGTCTAATAAGTCTTTATCATTAAATTGTTACTTTAATTTTCACTATGCATTGCCAGCCTTGCGGTCTATATAGTTTAAAATATATTCATATCTCCTATCTCTTCTTTTATGTCAAAGATATCACCAACTAACTTAATTTTTAGCTACTTAAACATTCCTTAAACATTAGTTATTTAGTGCGGGGCAGTGCAAAGGCAGCAAAAAATTATGTCTTAAAAGGGTGAAATGTCAAAGGATCATAAATCATCTGAAATGTTTAAAAATTATGTTTATTATATAATATATAGCATTTCTCAGCTGTAAGATATTTTTTTTTTTTCCTTTTTCCATGATTTTCATTTTTTTCTGCATCAAGGGTGAAGTGTTCGTTTGTAAATTTTGTCTTTTTAAACTGATATAAAGGTAGGAAAATGATAATAAACTTCGAAGAACTGACAAGGGCAAGAGCCGAAGAAAGAAGACCATGAGTGGATTAACCTGAGTTTTGTCCTTTCCAGAAGTATTTAGTGCCACTTTATGTTGTTTTTTCTAATATTTCATTTAATCGGCTTGTCGCCAACATGATAATTAGTCTTTGTTGCCCACCTGTATTTACGTCAGCAATTATTACTGCCAATTTGATTGATTTATTCATGATTTAGAAATTTTGTGTTTTCTATTTCTTACGTTACATTTTGCTCCTTTGATTTTGTATTCCGATTAAGAATAACACTTTTCATATTGTCTTCTTTGGTAGTGCTGTTTGGTCTCTTTCTTTTAAATTGTGCGAATGTTATATGATAGTTGAAAAGTAAACACAAAACATTTGATAGTAAAACACAAACGTTTTCATCAGAACAAAGCAAATAAGATGTGTAGGGGGAATTCGAAATGAAGGAAAGTTTCAGAAGTTTGCTTGAATGTGTCCATACTTCTGCTTCGCAGTGTTCTTTTTTTTTTAATTTTCCCCTGCATAATATAGATATAAGATGACTGGCTAGTTTGTTGTCGAGATTGTTATTGAATTTATTTTCTGTTCATTCGCATGACCGCAAGATTTTATTGAAAAATAATTTTTTTTTAAAATTACGATGCAGTGCCAACTGAATGTGACCACAGACATTTGGGAGTTGCGTGTTTGTGTGTATTTTATCACTCTTCAAATATCTGTGATCAATTTGAACATTGGAAGGTCAATTAACTTAATCTGATCATTGAAAAAGTTAACTTTACTCAATATCTTATATTGTTTCATTTTTAAATTTGCTATTTTGTCAGGAAAAAATTCCGAACAAAATTTTGGCAAAAAATTTAAACTTATAAAAATAATGGATTCAGGTGAGTATTGTAAAGCGACCAGTATGACCAATTTTTTTCAGAGATCCTTGAATATTATTAAAAAACGAAATGAAAAATTAAGTTGAAACACTAGCCTTTGAATTGCTAGCGTAAAGCTTAGAGAGTGTTCTGACGACAAATGATTTATTTCAGGTACGCTCCAATTTGTTTGTGAGACTTTCACTTCTGCCAGGAAGTTGCTGTGTAATAACACATTTCGTTCTCACATGTGTTTGTGAGCAGAATTTTTTCTAACCAGTTTATTTTTCTTTTTACTTCTGCTTCAGATAATATAAGGAGTATAAGAGTAAAAGCAGTATTTTAAGTTTTGTGAAAAGAAGTATCGCTGAAAGTAATGTATTTGAATGCTGATATGTCCATATTTGATCATGGTCAAGCAGAAACGTTGAAAATTTGTTATCTGTGTTGATTTATTATCATTATCTGTTAATCCCAATAAACCAGGTTATCTCCAGCGCGCCTTTATTTATTTCTGGGACGGAGAAATAAATAGAATTGCCGAAGGAATAATGTGCAAGTTACTGGCTGCTCGTTCCATGGATTTGGCACTTCGATTATTCACACGTCTGGGTATCAAATTTTAGTTGGTATAATTTATTCAAAAATTGTCAATGCAAAGAGTAAGAAAGGATAAATGGACAAACATTTTATGACCCCTATAATATGAAAAAGCTATTCAGATTTTTTGAATTTCTTTTCAAGACTTAAAATTTTTCAAAAATTACAATATTTGTGATAAGCCATTTCCAGATCTGGGAAAAAGATAACACACCTAAGGTATTAATTTATATTCTTCATCTATTTGTTTAAGAAAGTAGAAACTGCACAGTTTATTGTTGGACTTTGATTCATAAAGTGAAGTGAACACTGCTCTATTGTGAGCCAAAATTTCCTTTTCTAGAGAAAAAATAATACTAACATATCGTTCTCTAATATTATAATCTGTATTCCACATTTTTCTGGAAGTGTATTTTGATTTTTATTTTCTCAATGAATTAATTGTAATGGAAACTTGCTAAATACTTCATTATGACATAATGTAAGGCATGGAAGAGTTCGGGTTGAATGTTCAACAGATCATTAACATAGATCATTTCCTAGATATTCCCCATATCCTTTACAAAAATTTTTGAGGTCTGTTACACACACTGCTGAAAATTCAAAGATTTTGGAGTAATGTCAAACATTTGCATCATGAGCAAGATGGATGACGTCGCGATGTTACAAAATCGGAGTATATTTACATGCAGATTTCATGCGTACTTTATTTTGTTCTTCACATCACCACGTTGTGTTGTAGTTGTTAATATAAAACTGAAAAATGATATTTTATTCGTTTAAGTATATGCGTACGTTTGTGTGTGCAAAAATTGTGTTTTTGTCATGTCAAATAAAACATGATTTTGTTATCCATGCTTTTGGGTCATAATTCTGCTGCCTTCCCTCTAATGATGTAATGATTAAAATTCCTTATGGGAATGACTTATCAAATTGCTGCAAAACTTTCAGACAAATAATGAGAGGATTTTAAGAGAAAAATAGATCATTTGCCCTGAGAGAACAGAACAAGAGTGGCTTTTATCTTTTCTTTATGTCATCGTTTTTATTTTGGTAGCTGTCTGTTTTAATAATTGCTGTTTTTTGTCATGAAACATGCAACTGAGCGTGCATTGAGAATGCAAGCACCATTAAATTGAACAATCGGAATTCAGCGTGTTGTGCGATGAAAAATGAAAAGGATTGTTTGGCAGCAGATGGAGTTTTAATTAGGGGTAGCAGTTCGAAAACGAACAGCGGTCTACCAATATCTCCACCAGATGGTTCGATTTCTATGAAAATTTATTTTATTGTTTTTCTATAACTAAATCTTATTACGAACTTATTTCCCACAATTTATTCTCCACAAATTTATTTGTTACAGCTACATAGTCAGAGCACTATTTGCTTTAATATTTTCCGATACACTAAATTAAATACCAAGAATTGCAGGTGGGTATGGTTGGGTTATCGTACTTGCTTCATTTTTTGCCAATGTTATTGTGGATGGAATTATTTATTCGATTGGCGAAACACTTGTTGAAATTTGGGAGCAGGATTTTAGAACAACAGCTATGCAAGCATCTATTGTGCAGTCATTACTTACTGGATTTTACTTTCTTGCAGGTGTCTCGTTTTTTTATGACCACTTTTTTCTTGACATTAGCAGGAAACACAAACCACTAACACAGCATTTATTCGCAACGGCTTGGACTAAGATGCTGATTGCTTTTCGAAAAGCTTTTTTCATCATAGATGTAGTAATGAATATCCAGGAATTCTGATTTTATTTCTTTTGTTGACATTCATAATCGTATTAATTGCTTTTAAGGTCCGATGGCAAGTGGGCTTACAAATTTATTTGGATGTCGCTTGGTTGTCATAGCTGGTTCTATTACAACATTTGTTGGTTTCATTTTATCTTCCATCGTACCAACACTTTCATTGCTTTACATCACGTTCGGTATTATTGGAGGTAAAATATAACACTTCATAGAAAAAATAAAAAATATTCTAGAAATGAAACAAGCGAGTCTTTGTTATGAAAAACTTCAAATTTTTTAACTTTGCCTTATCAATAATTTCAAACTTATGAGGAAGAATTTTGCATGACATTAATTCATAGATGTTACCACAACCTTGGAACACAATTTTCGGAAATTTGTTGACATTTGATTGCTTTCTATATGCAAATCAAATAAATCGATTGTAGTCGAGTTTTTTACGGTCGACGAATTCAGGAATTGGCTTTGGACTTGTTTATTTGCCATCAATATTGGTTGTGAATCAGTACTTTGAGAAACGAAGAGCCCTCGCTATGGGAATAGCTGTATGTGGTTCAGGTATTGGTACCACCGTATTTTCACAGGTTTGTCATCTTAATAAAGAACTGCAGTATCATTTAACTTAATTTCCATTCACCGTATTAAAGCTTACTTTCAGACTATCAAAAGATTAAATTTTCCTGGAACTCGATAGTCATTTTCAGTTTCGTATACATTTCAGTTATTTCCATTTTTACTAGAAGTTTGTGAAAACAATTGGAGGCATTTTCTCGTTTATGCAGCATTTATTACACTTCTGTCTGTCTTATGTGGTTTGTGTTATCGAAAAATACCGTTAGAAATACCGTCGGAAGATAATGAGGTTTGTGTACTTAGCATTTGTTGATAAATAATACAAAATAATTTTATAAATAGTATAAAATTATTTTGTTTTCAATTTTGAAATGGAAATTAAATTATAAGTTGAGATCGTAAATTGATGTGTTAATATCTTTTGTTGGGCAATACCTGGACAACATCCCATGCAGAAAACCGACTAACAGCAACTGGATCTTATTCATAATCGTAAACCAAATTCTAATTCACAAAAAATTTAGCGATGCTGACGATTGAAGCTAATAATATCCTCTTGACCTATTACTGCGTGTTTTTTAAAGTTTAAAGGTTTTGAAGGTTGAAAGGATTCATCAGTTATCCTTGGAATATTGGTTAACTAAGAAAGGGCCATTCACGTTAAGATATTGTTTGCTGAGATATATAAATTCAAAAATTTTTGAAACATCATGCAGAAACTAAGAAGCTTCATGGAACTGTCGATCGAAATTTAATCTAATAATTTATACATGTAATAATTTGGGAAAGCTAGTAATAATTGTTATTAATGACTTACCAAAGAATGTGAATTTTTTTGTCAAGGATAATCCAAATCAGATATCTAAATGAAACACTGATTTGTGTTCTGTCTTTATGAAGGTTGTGTTTGGTTTCTTTTTTTTTTCTTTGTATTTTAAACAATTAACCTTTTATTTTACTGGATTAATATTTGAAACAGAATTTTAAACCGACTTATTCCGTTAAATAGCTATCCAGGCTGTTATTTCATTTCGCAGTCTAAAATACATATCAAGAATCGGCCTTAAATTACAAATCGAGTGTGAAAATATTTCTTTCCGGGAAGTTTTGTCATATAAAAACCAACTGAATGCATGTAACAATGGAATTTATTACTAGATTCAAGTAAATGTGATCTAATGAAGCCAAATGTTTATATTTTAGTTAATCGATATGTTAACATTTCAAAAATACTGTTCATAAATTTAAGTGATTTATTTTAATACATGCAAATAGATACAGTGACAGTAGGTACTGAAAGCTTATAAAAGTTCTGAACGAACTATATTATGTTGTGTACTAAAGTGCTGTACTAAAGCTGAAGAACTAAAATAAATAAACTGAAGAACTGTTTTTCTGTGAATTCTTGTACTTAATTAGTAGATTACAGTTCATACACAAATGATAACACAAATGAAATGGTTATCAATTTTTCTCTTTGCTTTCGATTATTTAGGGAAACTTAAAATTTGTTTGCATTTTTCTGTTTTTTATGTATTTATTAAAAGTATCTAAAGTTGTGGTACTAATATGATGGAATGAATTTCTCTGTTAAGGATAAAAGAATGAAATCTGATTCTGATTCGTCCTATGAAGGAAACGATGGACATGACAGTTTGTCTTCACAGCTCACTATCAACCATTCAATATCTATGAGTAGTCTGCAAGGAAAAGTGTTTCGTTAGTATTCCTTTTTTTTTTCTGTTATTATAAATAAGAAACTCGTTAACTTGAGAATGCAACATTTAGTTAGAAATCCAATGTCTCCATATTTCCTGTAATTAAAGTGATTAAGCTTATGAAAGAAATTTTATAGAAATCTTACATTTTTAAAAGTTATTGATTAAATTGGCAAAGTTTTTCTACAGAGAACTCTACAATTCTTCTACCATCGAATTCTGTCTAGACATCCTTTCATTTATTTTGCACTTATAAAATTTGCAGAAGATGAAGCCGAAGAAATGACTGGTAATTATTTAATGATGATTTCAAGAACGACGACACAAGTACCGTTGCAAAAATCTAGAAAGGCATTTCCTTTACAAAACGTGAGTCCCAGTTACACCATGCACAATAAAGCAGAAATTTATTTGCAATAGGAAGTTTTATTTGGTCACTGTAAAAACTTTTCACTGTCTCTTAATATTAGTTATATTGCTTAAATTACTCTACGGTCAAGTCTTTACGTACAACACTTTGATTATAAAGTATGTCGTTCACATGCTCTTTTTCTAATTTCGATAATGGAGTAATGAATTAAATAGATTCTCAGATTTTGCGTTCAATGATTGATACAAGTTTGCTGTCAGATCCGAGCTTTATATTGATTGCAATCACCGCTTTTCTGACACTTTGTTGTCTCTTTGTTCCGTTCATTTTTCTTGGCAAGCAGGCTCGTTTTTTTTTATGTTATAAAATTCTATATTAAAAACAATTATGTTTTATTTTATCACAATATTTTTTTTTTCTTTTGAAGAGTCTGACATATGCAATAGGAGTTTTCAGGCAATTAAAGTAGGTGCGACTTCAAGCCAGCAATCATATTTATTATTTGTTATAGGGCTTGTTAATATCTTTGGACGAATATTATGCGGGTTCGTTTATTCATTTGTTTCTTTTATGCATTTTTTCATTTACTGATTTATCCATTTATTTACTCCTTCTGTTCGCGTATTGCTTATTTGTCTGACAAATGTGCATTTATTGTAGGCTAATATCGGATTTACCAAACGTAGATCCGTTATTTATTCATAATCTGGGCATAATCATTGGCGGTCTAGCAACTTGCATCGTACCATTACTAACACAATATTGGATGTATGTAGTATATACAATACCGTTTGCATGGAGTGTTGGTATGAACTCATTCTTAAGCTTCTAATCTTAGAGCTAGAAATTTGTAATGTAATAATGAGAAAATGTAGTACGTTAAGCACTACCATTCATTTCTTTTCACAGTACAAACTTAAATTAAATGAATCAGAATAAGCTTGCAGCATGTTTCTCATCACTTCGTGCCATTATTTGTATTGAATTACTCGGTTTGGAAAAGTTTTCTAATGCTTTTGGGATGATGATGCTCTCTATGGGCATTGCTGCTTTAATTGGTCCACCACTTGCTGGTAAATATCATTAAAATTTCTGGCAGTAGTAGTAAAATGAAAAGGCCAAAAAAGTCCAAAGTAACTAAGATTATAGATGAATCGGAAGATAGAGTTAGACGATTTACATTCCAAAAGACTATGGATAGATAAAAGAGTACAGAGATTTTCAGAGTTTATTTTATGAGTAATGAATTGGCGCAAATTGCTTTCAAAATATATCGCAATAAAGTTATTGCAGCGCTATTTAAAGATCTAAGCGGGAATTTCGATCTGTCATTTTACGTAATGGGTTCATTGCTAACACTGAGTGGAGTGCTTTGCATACCACTTCGAATAGTCAAATCACGCATATCAAATCCAAGATTGCCGAGAAATACCAGACAATCAGGGCTGCAGTCCATGAATATAACAGAACGATTTTGAAAAATTCCGTGGGAATTGTTGTGACACTATAACGAATGCTTTTTTATTGCTTCTGCAACGTTATATGGTCTATTGCTTTTTAGGAACTAATTTTCCCTAACGAAAAAAGAATGAAAAGTAAGATTGAAATTTTTCAAAAAACAAAAAAAAACAACTGCCTTCACTTTTCTCACTTTAGTATCTTTTGCTCGACTCACAAAAATAACAGTGTCCAGTATTTGTAGATTTAGAAATCTTTAGATAGCGGTGAAATCAATTCCAGTTACAATTTATTCGTTTCCGGTGCAATAAAATTGTGTATCTAACGGCAATTTTGTAACTTCATTATAGTTAAGCAACAGCACATGTTAATGTCATTAAAAGACGAGGAGAGGGAGAGAGAGAAGTCGATGGATAGTATTTACATCACCTGGGTAATTTCTCGAATACATTAAAAAAACTACACTATTATTATTTGGTTTCGTGATCCATTATAACTCATTTTTTCATGTTTAGAAGAATTCAGTTAAGTTCAAACTCACTGATTAAATTTTTCGGCACCTAAAGCATAGTACAAAAGACAAAATTTTTTCTAAATGTCTAAGGTTTTTGGAAGTATCACCCAAAAATCCAGAGACAGATTTAATGAATTATATCTGTCTGATGCAACTCATCATTCAGAAAAAGAATGAGTTAACTTTTGTGGAACATATCATCATCTGTGACAATCAAATTTGAGTCTATCCAATTCAGCATTAAAGAGTTCGAGAATTTGCAACAATTCTTTCATACACTGAACAGAATAAAGAATTTATGTGAGAAGAATAACACAGTCAATACAAACATAAATTCGGGTTGAATACAAACATAAACTCGGATTGAATAGTGCCAAATTACAGCCTTATAGATTTCATTGATGGAACTGGGATATTTATAATTTTTCGAGCTAAATCAACAAAACAACAAAACAGCGTTTAGGAGAGTATGAAGGGTAAATAAAATCCGGAGTATTTTCTCGATTTTCTGCATCCTGGAACATCTGGATATTTCTTTTCCACCGATAGAATGATTATATTTATAAGTTATTGCCACACGGTAAATAATTAATGCCAACGTTTCTGCTAGCATTATAGTAGCCATTTTTGCTGCAATATTTTGGATTTTAAAGCAGAACAATCATATTTAGAAAATTATAAGTGGAATCTCATGGTGTTTTTATAACGCTTGCTATAAAACAATCCATTCTCATCTCTTCAAAAAAGTGGAATGAGATTGTACAACGCAACATACCACAGAAAGGAGTATTCTTCTGGTCAGGTGGTAACCTCTTCAGCATCTGAGTGTAATTCAGAATCTGTACGGCAAAACATAACAGAAGCCATATAATGGAACTGGGGGGAGATACGACTGTTCCTACCATAAAAGTTATCCTGAAATTAGAAGACAAAAGTGCTACCTATGATACTTACAATTGACTGCATTAACTTACACAGCTGAAACTTCAAATATAATTGTATTTATTTTGATTTCCAAATTCCTGTGTCCGAGGAAGTTCGTAAAGGTTTCCGACAGGAAGAAAGCAATAATATCATCAGTAACTGTGTCTGGAACTTGATGCCATCTTCAGCAGTTTCAAAATTTTTAAATGGAATCGAGTTAATCACAGTGTCAAAAACAAACGAAAATTACTGAATCTCTGACAAAATAAAAAATTCTACAAGAAATAAAAAGACTAACGTTGCCAAACAAAATAATGGTAAAGCGATTGTCACCGAATAGTAATAAACGATTCTGCGAAATTTTATCTCAAAACGTATTATTGAACGCATCATTTCAGGTCGTTCTCTTAAATAATATAAATAAAAAATGTCATTTTTGTTTGAAATAAAAACTCTTTTGTGAATATAAGTAGAAATTAACTTAAAAAAAGAAATATGGAACCGACGCGCTTTCATTGGCAGTAATTTTGCCCAGTGGAAGGATAAAGAGCAACGCTGCGGATAGATTCGTAACTTCAAATTCACCAGATCGGATGGTCCGCAGTTCATTTATCAAACTACCGAATATATCCGATTTCTTTGTTAATGATGTCCATCTTGAGAATTTCAATCTGTAAGCTTTTTTATCTGTTACTGAAATAGTAATTTATTCTACACTGAATCAGCTGCCAACCGAATTAATATGAATACTGAAATGAATCTTGCAATTTATTCAAAACCCCATTTGGGAACTAATTTCTTAAAATTAGTAATGGAATAAAAATATATCTTTAAGCTGTTCAGTCATTTCCTCTAGAAATGGATTCAAACGAAGTATGCTTTCAGAATAAACAAAACGCAGTTCCGCTGGCTGTGCAACATAATTACATTTCACAACTTCAAAGATCATCGTTAAAGTAAAGCAGCACTTGGACAATGGTAATGGTGTGAACATAGTTAATAAACAACTGTGAACATCATTTGGATATGCACTGAAATCCAAAGAACATGTTGAGCGAATTGTTAGCATCACCTAAACGATATGCTTTAAAACGTACCTTTGATTCAAGTGCTTTCACTAATGTACGAAGCTTTTAAGTTTCTTATATATGTCATAGGAAAAGAAATTTTAATAGAATTTTGGACCTTCAATTTTTCGACTGAAGAGAACAATTGGTATCACTTAACCTTCGATAAATACTCTGATAAAAATATTAAATGTCCAGAAATCGATTTTTTTACCTGTGCATAAACTGCTCCATTACTGATCAGCGTTACTTGGGTATTGAAATATTGCATTGCCTGGTCATTCCTCAGTTTCCTGTAATTCAACTCTTAATATATTCATAGTTTAGAAAAAAAAATAGAACAGATCAACACAGTCTGTATTTGATTCGTAACTGTTGACGTTCGGTTCGCGTGCTTTAAAAACCACATAAGAATAATAAGGAAAAACAGTTAAGTGCATACGGATCTTAATACGTTATTTTTCAAAAAAAGGTATACTTAAATTTCAGTAAAATGAACTGCAGGGAACCACATTCTTGGTAAATCACTTTTTTGTCGTACGATTTTGCCAACATTACCGTAATCTCGCGGTTCCCAAACAATTCTTTTATCAGTCCAGTGCTACAAAATACATCAAATTTTAGAAATTTTACTGACTGAGAGTTGCGGAAAGCAAGAAAAACTCAAACTTACAAACAACATGCTACAATGCATATCGATCAACTGCTGCTTTTGATTCTGAAGAAGATAAAACATGTATTTAAATATAATGGGAAATTAATAAATATGTTTTAAAACGATAAAATAAAATATGTTAGCAATGAAACAAACAAGTTGTTCGATGTGGTCAATAAACATGAAGGGTAAGACAATAGTTGGTGACTCCGAGGGCGAAGAATAATCATAGCTTTCCTTTTTGAATATTTTTTTCAGCAGTATTTTCTCATTTTCAGCCATTTTCTGCAAGTTTCATAAAAATTCTTTTTAAAAACATATTTGATCAAGCGTAAATATAAACCTGAAAAGTTTTTAATTAAGAATCCTATCTAAATTAATTAAGAAGTCATACCTGAATGGTTGTGATTTGTTGGCTAAATGTCGATAAGAACAGCAGGTATAGAAAGATTAATATGGAAGTCATACTGCATAAACTATGCACACAGATTGTGAATTGTTAATTCAACGCTTACTGAGAGCGTTGTAAGTTAACAATCTCGTATTTAATCTTAAATTTCCAAATTTTCAGAAGAAAGTCAGAACCCTATTTGGAAGTGGTTGGGATTTTTGGTCATCGAAACTAAACATTTGTTGTGAACTTAAATCTTCGTAAAGTACAATGAATGAAGTCATATTTTAATGAAAATGAATTAAAAAATTTTTTGAAAATATTTGAATTTACAAACCAACGAATAGAATTACGATGTTATAATTTATAACTCGTAGATATGTGGAAACTGTGGTATTTCAATCTGTTTATATTTAAGCCATTCTATAATTTATAAACAGTCTCACATGATGTAATATTGGAATTTTCACTACTTCCACAGTTTTTGATATTATTATACAATTCAAGTTATTAGGAATCACCATGATCTGAAATATTAGTGTTTTAATTTACTGAAAGGAAAAGTATGGACAGAGATGGCAGTTTCCTTACCTTGAGCATAAGTAATCCCGGATTCAGAATTTTATTTAAACTAAATTCAAGGACTAAATTTTAATTTTACTAAATTTTTAGTATGGAAAATATTGGTATGCGGAGCCAATTTTGTTTTTCGTAAATTATATTATTGAAAATACCTTCTCGTTAATTCCAATCTGAAGTTAGTACATTTGTTTCTTAAAATTTGTTTAATCCAGCCATTATAGATTAAGCTATTATTCAAGCATTTATGCCTCAACTGGCTTAGATCAGATAATTTACTTTTGGCTTGTTTGAAACTTTTCACAGAAAGCAGGTCTATTTTACCAGTTTTTTACTACTTTGGTGCTATTAAGTTACTGACACACTTTTTTTATTACTCTGTGATGATCAGGTGGGATTTAGTTAGACATTTGTGATCTACGTTAATAAAATCCGGGTCGAAGTACATTTTTTATCCCATGCTATTCTTGTCGAAAAAACATAATTATAATATGTCGAAATAAAACTACTAATTCATAAAACTAAACATTATTTTAATTGAATATTCTTTAGGGAAATATAAAACTGTCTCAAATTGTATCACATATAAGCAATCATTCATCTAACGCTCATCTTCCAGTTCTAACTAAACTTATCTGCACTATCTAAAATTTTTCATTTGTTAAGAAAGAGTACATTGTTTAATATGTTAAGCATTCCTCCTTTGTTCTAAACCAAATCTGTTTGGAGTATCGAAATATTACAAAGGTTTGTCAATCATTCTTATGAGCAATTGACAATGTTGAGACTCACCTCTTACTGTATAAAGAGTAAGGGTCATCTGATAGACAGCTCTTTATTCACTGTAATCATGCATTTGTTGTTTGCCAATGCTTACTGTATAAGAAGTTAAACCTTTATCTAAAACAGTTTTTTAGTATCAACAAGCTAAAAATTGACTAATTCCTCTTCACTTCATATTCGTAAACTCTACGAAATTATTAGTATATTGCCAATATAGATCAGTATTTGTGTATCATTGTTGTTAGCGAATAAAAGTCATTACTATACCAACTTCAAACCACAACCAAGAAAGATTCCTTAACACAGACCTACCAAGTATATATATTATAGGCAATGAAAGTAAACAACATATCAATTCATCTAGAAATGTTTTTCAGTGAGAAGAAATAATAATTCGTATCTTGAATGGTGGTGTGCTTTCGTTACCAGCGCATTAGTAAACAATTCATAATATAATGGTGCAGTTTAAGAGAGTACTGTACTCTTCCTTACTTTTTGTCCTTTCTGTCCATGGAAAATTGCAGTCTGTTTAAAAAAGTGATCCATAAAACTTCATCAACACTAGTTGCAAGTTCTTTGTGATAAAACCTTATAATTTTCAAAAACTTTGATTTAGAAACTTCTGGCTTTTTTTTCAAGATTCTTTTGTTGAGCAAATCCCACTCTCTCTGTTTGTCGTTTTGCTTATTTAAATAGTTCTATTATTTGTTCTGCAGTAAAACAAAACATATGACTCTTGTTTATTCAAATATCCACTATTGACGCTTGGCGACTTGGCGTAATTCTTAATTCAAAAAAAAAAAGTGCGACAGAAAATTGACCTTCGGGTTCTACCTTGCTATGGATAAAGATAATTAGCGTGGAAATATCGTAGGTATAAACCACTACTTTCCGATATAATGTTGAACATTTAGAAAATGTATATGCCAAAATCTTATCGCTTGATTTAAGCGCATAAACAACATTTGAACATAATGCTCGTCTCACAGGCATCATGATCCATACTTCAGATCCCAATAATACAAATAAGCCTCCAAGTTTAACGCATAATTCTACAATAAATGATACCAACGATAATAAAAAATAACAATGATAAATAGACGTGAAAAATGATTTAAAAAAAAAGAAAAAATGCAGAAGGGCTAGTGAATTCTAGATTCAAAGTACTAAAATTCAAACGTAGACTGCTTCTCATATTCTTCCTAATCAAAAAAACACCAATCACCTCCAAAGCATGTTGCACCAAAGCTCGGTGATGACCTTTTTCAACCTTGTTCTAGGAAGGAGTTAGTCAAAGCTGATTTAACCTTCGAAGCTTATGTTTGACTTTTTAGGAATCGCACTTTTTGTTGCATTTGTCAGTACAACAGTATCAAGATGTATGGGGACCGTAGGCTCAAATGATCGGATTCTATTCAGCTTGAAAATTACTCCGATCACTTTCCCGACACAACTACGTTCAGTGGAAAAGTAGTCGACTTAATTCATTTCGCAAATCCTCTAAATTGAGATCTCGTGAATGTTTACATAACCAAACAAATCTCATTTAAACCTTCTCATCGTCTCAACAACATTGACTTAACACTCCCTTCCTATTTTGCTAGCGAACTCTACCCGTTCTCCCCACAAGTGCCATAGCAGGTACCACCCATAAGTCCCCTGACTACACTCCATCTCGGTTGATACTTCCCTCCTAGTTGCAGCATTAGCCCTCTGTTTATTGTTAGCTGTGCTTTTTATTCAATTATTGCACTTTCATATGCGTCAATCAGTAAAAATGAATCCACTTCTGATAAAGATGTTCAGCTTGCTGTGGATGGAACAAACTGATCAAAGCGTACAAAAACAATTTGCCGAAATTGGAATACAAACTGACCTCTACCCCATTAATTTGTACAGTGCAGTGAAGCGAGTTCGACTGTAGAGTTTCCGAACATTTTTCACTTGTAACGTAGGAGTAGTCGCTTCAAACAATTCGCAACGAATTGGTTCCCTTTCATCAATATTTGCTTCCTTAGAACAATAGATTTGAGGACAGCCCTTTCCTTATGCTTCTCACTTATGTTAGAGTCTGCAGACAACTGGCGTTGAAACAGCTCATGAGAAGACTAGGCCCATTATGATTTAAACCAAACATCAAAATACCAGCAACGTTGAATACTTAGTAAAGGTTTTGCATCTATGTCACATTAACCTAATCAAACATTTGTTCCTTACAACGCCAGCCTTTATGCTTTGTTTTAAAATACTCGCTAGTCAGAGGCTGCGATGGAATCAATTTAGATATGAAAATCACAAATGCGTATCAAAATAGAACCTTACGATTATGCACAATCGTCTTTTAGAAATCACCATATAAACCACAAAATTGATTACACGAAAATCTCACTTTTTGGTGAAACATTCTATAGAAATCCGAATGCAAATCAAGCCAAAATAGTGCACACAGAATGCGTTTACAAGTTCATAAAAATTACATACCAAGAATTAAAAAAATTCCACAAAATAATAAAAGGAAGCTGACACAACTCACGATGAGGTAAACAAAAGGTATACCTTCCTGGCGCCATCACAATAATGATGCCTTTACCTTGTCTGCTGAGCAAAAAGGGAAAATTACATTCTTTCATGCACTGAAAATGAATACAGCAGCGACGTTGCCGACATAACTAACATTCTATATTTAAAAATTATTGGAGAACTTGGACATATCCTCAGAAGCCACACTGTTACTTTGCCATCCATAAAGTTTTCAAATTCAAAAGTTAAATGCTGGTTCAGCAAACTCGCAGCCTAATATTATATATATATATATATCCGAATTAAAATGGCTGAAGATTTTAACAGATTGTTGATAGCTACTGTCATAAAAATGATTTTTTGACAAGCCCATCAGTCGTTTCTAAAAGACAATAACAAATCAACTTGATCTAAGAAGAAATATGAAAGGTTTTCAATACAATCCTATGGAGATGCAGAAGATTCGAGATACATACCAGAAAAATTCCTTACTATCTATGCACATAGCATACAGATACACATTATTTTGTACGCTGAATACATGAAAAAAAAAAACGTGATTTTGAGAGAGGAATAATAGAAAATCTCAAGTGAAGATGACTGGAAATTTGTATAGGGAACACTTTGTATAACCTGATACGAACCATGTTTCCCATAAATGTTTTACCTTCTTTTTCTTCATGATACTATGACTGCCGTTAGAAACTAAAATATAAGAGGTTAAAAAAACAAAATACGAGTTCAGAACTCCAATTTTTGGTTACAACGAACTTGATGCATATCTTCTCAAAGCAAGGGATAAAATTTTTCCCCATATAAACTCAGTAAAAATTTTTTTTATAAACTCGAAAAACTCATTCCTCTATGCGTATTTTATTAAAAAAAACTAATTTCATGTCCTGATTTAGAACTAAACGTGTCCTGAAATCACTAGTATATTGACTTAGAGTGAAAAGAAGTTACCGGAGGCGCAGATGAGTCTCATGTTTGTTGAGGATCACAAGCAGTAATTGGAGTGTTAACCCCAAGAGGTGTACCACACGCTGCTGGTGGAGCAACGGATGAAGGAACTTGGCTTCCTGTATTTACACCCCATCCACCTATCGACGTTAATTCAAAATCTGGCATGTAGTCTGAAATATTCATATAAAACCTTGCGATGTACATGTAGTTTCAGGAATATATTATTCCTGAAATATATTTAGTCAAAATAAACAAGTTAATTTTCAGGAAATTTTAAAAAGTATACACAGTTCTGAAGATATCCGCTTGAAATATATTAAATTAAATGCATTTAATAAAGTTAAAACGAATTCTTACCGAACTTACTACACTAAGTTACCAATAATATAAGTAGGAAGCTTTAAAAGTAAAAAAAAATAACAAAAAATTACTAAAAAAAAAAAAAAACAAACTTTGAGGAGGTGGGGCCCCCCCAATTGCCGACATTGTGGTAGACATCTGATGATTCATACTAGGTAATGAGTTCTGCATAGCACTGGGATCGAACTGCGTATTTTCTACTCTAGAAATTGTTCTCTCGTCCTCTTCACCATATTCACCACCCATCATCGAAGGTTCACCCACTACCATAACATCCTGATACTGGAGTGGAAACTGTAACAACTAGATTGAAAATATATGTTTAAAATAATATGGTATGCATTCAGTCCAAATTTATTTGCATTTCACAGAATCCTAGCGTAATATAGGAACTGCAACCTATACAAATGACACCAATGTCAACTAGGATTTCCCGAAATAATGAATGTGGAAAGAAAAACAAACATGCGAATTCATTGAAAAATTAGCAGCATTTGTTGATGGAGGTGAATTATTTTTCTTTTTAGCATTCGATGCTGTACTCGCACCAGTTGCAGTCTTCCTTGTTCGTTTCCGAGGTTTCTTGGAAGTCGGCTCCTCCACTGGTGTCGGTGGTAACACATGAGACGGATTCATGCCACCTGTGTTAAAAAATGAAACGAAGAGTCGGACAGTAGGAGAAACAAGTGAAGATTAAACACTGTGCACTACAAATGCCAACTACGAAAAAAGTTTCAAGTGAACAACTCACCAATTGCATTCATCGCCATTTGTTGTTGCTGTTGATACTGCTGCATCTTTGCATGAGCTTGGAACAAGGTTTGCTTCAAAGACTCTCTCGGTGGAATCTGCAACCAATGCACATTATAGTTAAGTGATTCAGAACTAAAGAAACTAGTAACAAAAAGTGAAGACACAGACTCCACGAATTTTCCTTGGAATACCAATCAAACAAACCACATTAATGATAAGTTCACAACAATTTAGTGAAAAAAGCTTACGTTGTGTGATTTACTTTGACTCATAAGCACCTGCATTGGTTCCAGGATGACACATAACTTCAAGTAATTTAGCGTTATTTGAGTCATGCCCGTCCGTGTTATATTCATTTTCAATTTCTCTTGTGTTTCACTATCTTGCAGCTACAATCAGATTATACAACTTCCTGTATTCACAAAAATATTCTATAAATCCAATAACACACTGATCACACGATTCTGCAGTCATCAAAATACAATTAAACATAACATTTTATATCTACTAACACAGTCATAAGAAATATAACGCTGCTCTAGTAACTTATCACATTATCCCTCGAAAAAATTAAGACTTTTCTCCAATAAACCAGAACATTTTTAATTAGAGGATAACCAATAAGACATGACATACCATGTTGACATCACGCAAAACAAATTCTTGACAATGCCTTAATTCAATGTTCCACTGTCGAATCCTGTAGCCATATGTATCATCAAACGCGAATTCGCACATCAATTTACAGTCAGTGTGCACCTAAATCAAATACAACACAAGTACGAAAAATATTGTAGATTTCTTCAATTAATATTGACAGTAAGCAAGCTGTTAGTAACGTCGTGCAATTATATTAGTTGCTTCTCACGTTTTAATACAAGGCGTTGTAAACAAATGTCCACAGTTATACCGTTTGCTTGCGTGATATTCGGATTACGTGAGCTACTTTTTCCTTTTCTCTTTAAAAATTTAGAAGCTTATAGAATAAGACACTAACTTCGGACAGGACAGGTTTATCATGTTTTGACACAAGAAGAACATTGTCGCAGTCTAGCACAACTGTCCACGGTCCACCTGCCTGCTCACGAGAAGGTGTTCGAATTACATAAAACATTTCTTTCACTCCACTTTCAAATATTGATCGAAAATACCTCGGTATCAACAACCGGCCAATGGCTGAAATAAAAAGGGTACAAGAGCAATCAGTCGCTGATAAATAAAATCCAACTAAGTTTGTAAAACTAAATTGTAAGCCTTTGATTCTGCATGTCAAAATAGTTCTACCAAAAGTCCCCCAAAAGATAACGCACTATATCGATGATGATGACCAGGTGTTTGGTCGTCAAATAACAAAAAGCTCATTTTGGCATCGTCATCAAAGAATTCGTGTGCAAATGCATCCCACCACTGCCCATGGTCCTTTTCCTGAATCTGAAAACCAAGAATTAATCCGTATGCAATTCCTTTAAAGAACACTAACTTAACCAATGGCATAAGAATAAGAATGATGTTAAATCACAGCTTACAAAAGGGAGGAAGAACACACTTAGCGTATTACGCAATACATGCTTATCAGTAAAAAATGAAAACCATAAAAAAAGAAAAGCGCTTACTCCGCTGTTACTGAAGATGAATAATCTCCGATTCATTTCATGCAACCTGAATTCTAACTGAGAGGGAGGAGGACCTTGCTGATGGTTCGGCATACCCATAGGTGCGACATGTCTATACCTGAAAAAAAAAGTAACATAATCACTTAATTTCACAACAAATCGAAAGTTACGTTTTTTGAAGAACACATTTTGGCAGCGAAGAGTGCCAACGACGATTTCTCATAGATTTCATTTCACCAAATTCCTCCCCAGTACCTCTTGACAAGGAAACTTTGAGCAGAACATTTCCAAAAAAGGATGAATGAGAACCTCATGATCATATGATTATGCTGTTGTAGATGAGACGGTTGCCCAACAAAAGGACTTTGCGGTGGTTCAGGTTCAATAAACTGATGTGGTGCTGGTGGTGGTGCCTGTGGTGCCGGACCAGGCGGCGGGCCAAGTGATGGCTGATAACCTGGCGGTACCGCCTGATAATATTCTGGCGGTGGTGGAGGTGGTGGAGGTGCGCCCATCGAGCCAGTTGGTGGCGTATAAACATGATGACTCGACATAGGTCCACCATCATCGTGTATTGGAATCATCCCGTTATGATTGTGCATCATTGGCACAGTTTGCATTGCTGACGGTGTTTGGCCACTATCGTACATCCCCTGAACCATTTCCAATTTCGGTTCCAAACTACCGACATCTTTCTTCGAACGTCTAGCGCGTGGTCTTGCCGTACCGACAGCTGCGCTTGCCGTGCCATTTTCATTGGCTTTTCGACGTGGCATCGGCTCGCTTCTCAAGCTAAATGCTTTCCTGCTGAAGTTTTGACCTGCAGTATACTGTCCTCACCGTATACTCATTTTCGGAAACACTGATCGATACAACTGATAAGCGGACTATGGTACCAAAATTCAAGAAGCACCAGAAATGCCACATCAACTTTCAAAAACCAAACTCCAGCACTGGAATCGATCCCAATAATGGAGCCTCAATAATTATGCACCTTCTTTTTCTTTCTGAAAATGAATCAGTGTCGCCCGCTTTAGTCGTAAAAGATTCATTACTACGCTGCACTTAAAATACCTGAACTACTGAACCAAGACAGCACGGAACCGAAAAACAAAAACAAGAACATGACAAGAATGAGAGAACGAATATCAGTGAAGTTTCAGAAATAGCCGAATAATAAGCATCAAAATGTAAAGACTCAAGTCTGCATTCTCTGGGATGGAATTAATGATGACCTTTTTGTGTAAAGAACATTTCTCTACACAAAAAAATTTCCAGGAAGAGTTGTTTGTTGCTTGACAAATTTTTGTGATAAAACCGGAAAAAGTTTGCTACCACGCGAGTTCAAAGAGCCATATACAAAAAAGCCGGAAGAGAATAATAGGAACGGTTCCCAACTATACACACTAAATAACACAAGTTTCATTGCACTCCTAGCACTGGCATTCTTCTTATCTTACTTAAGAATGCCACAGAAAAAGAAACCTGGTGGAAAATGACAATGGACTGTGACCTTTTCCCGCTCTGCAGCTTAATTACCAGTCATCAAAAAGATTATGTTAACTACAACGTTGACTAAATAAACAAACAGTAGAATCGTATGGGAACAAATCGGATAGCAAAGCTCACAGACCACGAGGGTCGAACAACAACAACCACAAACTGAGGTGAGAAAGTTTGTTGCAGCAGAAGTGACGAACCACATCTGGTGCTAATCCATTCCATTTCATTCTCAGTGATATGTGGGAAATTTCACGCATACAAGCCGTTACCGTCACGTGTCTTCTTCCACAGTGTTTATCAGAGATAATAGCTCCACGCCCCATACTTCATCACATCTAAATTATTCAACCACTTCACTTATCCAAACTTTACTCAACAAATTATAATCAGTCATTTCCTTCAGGATCAAAGTATAAAAAGGGAAATAGACAAGCACAAAATATTAAGTCCATACGAAAGACGAATAAATCAACACATTTCAAAACCCCATGAACAACAACAGTTCACGTATACATCGATAGAATTAAAATGCCCTTTCGGGTCAAACATCTCACTCAGAAACCAGTTTTCAAAACGAAGACTCGTCTAAAATTAAAGTCGAAATTTGTGCGCCAAGATACGAAACACAGAAAAGGCAAATGGTTTGGATGAGCAAATATGATAAGCATGGCACGACAGAAGGGGAACTGGTGTATGCGACCCTTTTTGGAATAAAAAAGGGATAAGGATTCGACCCGAAGCTTGCAGCTAATCAGCATAATCGCATAATCAATAAATGTGTGCGGCCGTGAATAGTAGGCATGGGAAGAGGGAGGAGAAATGGATGAAAAGGAAGGAGATGAGGAGACGACAACACATCTATCTATCCCAGCCAGCTACACCTCATCACAAACCAAACCTCGTTACATCAACTTCCACACCAAATTCAACAGACCACGCACATCCCAGCTTTCGTTACTACTTATTATTCACCTCATTTCCAAAACATGTAACAAACTATACAAATGTCGAAACAGCTACCAATGAGTGATAGAAGGAAGCTTTGCCACCCATCTCCATCTCCTACAAGGTTTGGGCGATATGAGACCGAGAGGAATGCTCTCTCTGATTAAAGAAATTTTGATAAAGTAGGGTCGGTTTTCCTGACGACAATAAATGGAGGGGATGTATGATTTGGGCATTGCGGAGACAATTGTAACCCCTGGAAGGGTCGGACTATTCATCAGTTGGATCATCTGAAACACCTTACTTCATCATCTGATTGTTCCTATTATCTTGAGGATCCCATTCCTTAATAATTTTAGTGATGATCCACCTTTTTCATCTTTTATCCTAGAATTATCACATGCACCATTTCCCCAACCTTGATTTTCATGCCTGCGAACGACAAAAACTTGAAGTACGATGCAGGGAACTGAAGCGACCAATCAAAAGCGAAAGAATTCGGCATCAAAAGCTATATGTCTGTTAAAACATCTACGCTCTATTGTAAAATTTTCTCAGAGAACTAAAACTGAGCTTACAAAACGCTGAATTCTTTTTTTTTTAAATTTCACTTTTCTTCTGGACATTTCTCATAACCTCATCAAACCACAATTGACAGTAGTAGTAATAACGATCAAACCTAACGAAAAATGAGACTTTCAAATCAATGACGTAATTTCAGACGCTGGCTGCTGACGGCGAGGAATTCTCATACATACGTCATTAAGCTATCTTGCATTTAGCAGCACATTTTCTGTCATCTTTCCCAGATTTGTCTTCAAATGAAGTTAAAACAGATCAATACAAATATGAAGAGACATTAACAGAGTTACCCTGGACATCTAGAATTTCATGCTCATCATCAAAAAAGAAGGAACTGTCAAAGAGATGTAAATCGAATGCTCATATATGCTGTTGCTGGTAAAACTGTTAATTTTAACATGAAGTAATTTCATCCCAGAGTATCGCTAAAACAAGCACATCTTGATAACTCCACGACTAGCTTCGTGATGATTTACATGATTATGGGTAAAACACTTTACTTTTTGAAATAAACAACTACCGATAGCACACACAGTTACTGAACTGATTAAATTAAATAGAAAGGTTTCAAAGTTGGAATTTGGCATACGATACAGTTTAGTTTTCCTTCCACTGAGCAACATGTATATCATTATAGGGAAATGCGGCACTCTGAATTACAGAATATTTCCAATACCAAATTTGAACTGCCAAATGCTCTTACACCTGACTGCCGAATGCAATGCATTGTTATTTACATGTTGATTTGCTGCAATCAAAAATCAGACAAGACACGTCATGTAATGACGTCAACAACGTCAAGAAATAGTGATCAACGTACTTTTTGCCTCACGTAATTATGGTTAGTATAGTAACTTCTAAGAGGAGATGCAACTGCCTGATAGTGTTAAATGAAACAGTAAATCAACTCAGTTACCATAACGATATATTACTGGGCTACTTGAAACTGAAAGAATGTAACGACCAAAAAAACCCCAAAAGAACACTTCGAAAAACAATGACTATTTGTGAAAGTGTTACACTGTGAATACCAACAGCTTGTGCAAAAAACCGGTCAATGAAACACCTACATACACACATACACGACATATATATACATGCACAGAGAGATAACGGATACGTTGGCATATATACCTGCAGGGGCAAACACAAAGGAATGAGCCTAACTGCAGCAATTGTATTAAATGAAACAGTTTTTTTTTATTAAAAAAAAAAGAAAACGATGATATCGAGACACCAAAGATAATATATATGTATGGTTTAAGTATGTGGTCGTTACCTCATTCACTTCAGAAGCAACCTAATAACAGCAATAACTACAAAACGTATTGACAAGGGTATCGTTGGTAAGAAAGAAGCCCTTCCTACCCTCCACTCTCCTCTATTCATCTCTCCATCATCTCATTCTGCAAGCACTGCTTACTGGTTGCTCATAAGCAAGAACTGTTTAGTACCATTAGCCATGGATATGCATGCTGATAACTTCCCATAACTAGCACAGCAAAAACGGGGCACATAATGATTGAAAATTGGAAATCAAATTCAACAGGATGAGCAACAGCGCTTTACTGGTGCGTATGCTGATGTGTACAGGTAATATGTAGGTTATGCGCACATGCCATAAGGAAAACGGGGTTATGGGTAGAAGGAGGGAAACGAAGAAGGGCAAGGAAAGAGAAAGAAATAGGGAGGAGGCAGAGAGCACATCTCTTTCCAAACAGCACTGCAAATCTTGCATGATTGTGGTGCTATCATTGACGATATTTGTGGGAAACTGAAGAACAGGCACGAAACCACATTTACTACAACTTGGCTGCAGAGGTGCTGCAAATGCATATAGCAGCAGTCATTATGGTTCAACACTGTCGCGCAAGCTCTTAGTCTTTTATGGGCAGCAGCAGATCGTTGCCAGCAAACCTCTGCTGGATTAGGACAGTCAATATATGACGCTGCGAAAGTTATGGTAGTGAAGCTACCATTACCTTTGTCACCATGGCCAACCAACAGTATTCCTCGGATCATTTCTCTTACTCACCTGCCTCCAGAATCCCAAGCTCCTGAACCACAAGTACCAGTTCCTGGCATCATATGAGATAGAAAGAAATCTCAATTAAGCCCTCAGCATTTCTAACCAGAAATTTCAAGCTTCCTCTACATTCCCCACTTCCCATTCTGTACCGTGTGGTGCACGAAATATGGGTGCGAAATTACCTGAATGAGAAATTTCGAAGTCTTTGTAGCAAGTATTCACAAAGATCACTCACAAGGTTCCTCATCTTTAAGAATCAGAAAAACATTTGGGTACAGCTAACTCTATGACAACTATTGAATATCGCAGCTTCCTAATCATGAACTTTTCCTAAAAAGACCTGAAAAGTAAACAGAATTTCAATATTCCTTTTTCCTTATTCTTCCAATCAGACACAATTTTTGTCTCAAACAGAAAGGATACAGAGCAGCACAGTGGAGAAATAAAATTAGAGTTATGCTCGGAACAAAAGAAAAAAGTACCAGTTTTCTGTTTGAAATGTGAGTGGTACCAGTGAAGGTAAAGTTGTTATTGCCAATTGGCTATTGCCAATTGTGTGAATGGTTTTCAAAATATGAAAATAAGTCAAAATACACAATTAAAACTCTAAGATGCTGTTGTTTAGAATTGGCATTTATGGAAATTATGCAGTGGAGAAAGATTTGATACAATTTCAATCACTGAGACAAATAAGTTTCAATTCCTGATCCAACTGGGATATGTCTGTTAGGTGATAGCCACTCTGGGAAGGATTCGCACACCTACGAACCTAATAAAACTCGGCAGAAAGGAAGGAGTGAGAGAGAAGAAAACTGGATGGGTTCAGCATATCAGGTAGTAAATCTCTTACTTTGAAATTACAAATAACATTTAAGTATGTTCCGCATTATTTCTTACGAACTTCTGTAAAAAACGTGGGAGATGAGATGAACCAATGCCTTCCAAGCAGTCGTAATTTTGTGCTGTTGTTAAAGTTGCAAAATTCAAGAAAATATGACAGTCGGTTTAGGAAATGTAGAAAGAGGTTATTGCAATATGAGATCAGATGACAAAATGCATATATATTCATAGCACAAGCATGCATACACATATATAAGATATTTAAGCATACTTCACGGTGCTACTGTTGAGAGTTGGTCACTACCTGAACTGACCACAGTGCATAGAAGTGGAAGATGAAGTGCCCGTAAGCTGGAAACTGTGCTGATAATGATGAGGTAAGGAATCGGGTAAGTGGGGGATCATATGTGACAGTGCTTTACGCTTTGGGACATTTGGAATATTGCCTAGATGAGTCGGCATGTGGCGTATGGCGTATAGTGTATAACATATAGCGTATGAAAGCGTATGGATTGGCATATCTATCACACGAATAGATGTGCGTCTAGCTTCGCCACTGTTGTGTAATGTGCAGGCGAACATTGGACAGGCTCATCGAGCTACGAACGAAAAGGGGGCGTTAATTGAGGGGGAGGGTATGAAAGAAATGACATGTATTGATGTGGAAGACAGACAGAGAGATAACGTACGTTGGACAATGACCAATGTAATAGGAGTGGAAGGGAGAGGTAGGAAGAGATGGGTGGGGGGTGGGAATTTACCTTACGAGGAACTTTCAACGCGTGCCACTCCACTCTGTCGCTCTTCCAGCTTGACATAAGCAAAGCGGACACAATATATACACACATAAATACACACACTCACATACATATATATTATATTATACGTGTAAATTTGTATACTTCTATAAATATATATATATATATGGATGATGAATTTATGCTGCACACATAACGAAAGCATCTTTCGAATGGGGAGTGACTGCAACTGGCTTTTGAAATGATCCCGAGAGAAAGTGAACAACCCAGTCGTCCCAATAGGCCAGTAAGAAATGGTTAACTAAAGGATGACCTTTTCATTTAGCACTGTCTTCCCATCGCTACAATTCACTTACAGGTAGCATAACATAATATAATGCGCATTTGTAGTGCTATATTAAGTGAACTATTCAATGACACGAGGATGTGGAATCGTAACAGAGGATAAGCACATCAACCGCTCACCTTGACCTTTTGACCCCTGTGACCTCTCGCTAAAACACCCTCCCTCTCACATTCATCCACTTATTGTCTCTGATGCCGTCACATTCAAATGCCGATCAAGGACGACTGTACTAAGAAAGATAATATGTGGATAAAAAATGACGGGCCTGTCAATGTTTTAACATCTACCAACTAAATATGAATTTAAGCCCTCGTTCAAAAGCATAGGTAAAGCTCTCAATTATACTGAAGGTTTGAAAGAAACACGTTGAATGTATAATTCGATGGCACATCGAATGTATAATTCCTACGTAACTCATGAACCGATATCGGTTGTCAGTACAATAAAGAATATTTCACTTCTGACTCCATCTAAATTTTAAAAAATTATGAGTTGCTATGTTTAATTCAAGCTTCCTTAGCGAATCCAACGATGAATGCTATAAGTTGAGAGTGATAAACGATGTTGACAAATGAAATTCCAAGCTGCGCATTTCTATGAGGTCAAAAAGGTGAAACCAGTTTAAAGTCAAGAAGGGAGAAGTCGGCTGCTATGGGGAATGGCAATAGTTTGCTGACTGTGCCAATAGCACTATCGCAACATTTGATAAACGAGTGTGCATGCTCAAAGTATACATATATTGGGACAGCAGGGTGAGCAAATAACTGCATGCTCCTATCGCTCCCGAATATGCCCCCGAGCATCATGGCATCAAATTTTGAGAGAAAGTTGTTGAAGAATCCACTTAAGATATATGTCGCTCCAAATCATGCAAGGAGATATCACTAATACCTACTGCTAATTATATTGCACAATGAACCACCTTCTTACCCGAAATTTATTTCTATCACAATTATATCCTCAGCTGTCGCACAAATAAACATATTTTTTGGACGCTTTAAGATACCTGCTACTAACATATGTAATGATTCAGAGTGATGAAAGATACTACACACCGAAATTTTCTTTCAAGATTCAACTTCTAGTTATCCCTTAATACTTCTTAACTTGCAAAATCATATCACTGTCTAAAGCTAAGTGTCACAGTTTGATTTGACTCCTCCTCTTTCCGCTTTCTGCCCCAGACATTTACTTTCCGTGGAAGTACTCATCATTTTCAAATATTCATCACCGTTTTTCTTTTTTTTCTAAATAAGAAATAAGGAATCATCAGAATGACGTTAACAATCATTAAGTATGTAATAGCTGTGAAGTTATGTATAATCAGTGGTCCGAAAACTGTTGAATACTTTAAATGCCACATGAAATTTACAGGGATAGCAGTACACTCGCTGCTTTCAATACAAAATATATAGAATACTTAATTACATATATAATATTTCTATAGTATATATTTATTTATTTTTTTATACATTCTATACATTTCATAGGAATGCTGTATAAAATCTCAGGACTTGGCAGAAATCTAAAGTATGAAATTTCAAGTTCAAGCTTCCCCATCGTTGCATATGCATCCATTCCTTTGTTCGTTTGGGTACCAAACTGTTACAAAGTACATTGGACACGTACAAAATATCAAGTATTTCATAACACATTCATTTCACCGTAGCTTTAACTAATAAGGAAGCCTACCCGTCTGGCATACGCGGTGGCAAACTCATTTGTACGACATGGTTCATAAATTGTCCTCTGAACGGCAACGTGATTGAAGTAGTTCCAGTATGACTAGAAAGAGGTCCACCATTTGGTCGAAGTGGTGCCATTGGATAATGTTCTGAAATATGATAAATCTTCTTTTCACAAAATATCTTCCTCAAATAAGGTTGCTACCAGGACATAGTGACAGGTGAACTAATTTTTAACTTCTTAATGACGAAACAAATTACATGAGAAGAAACTCTGAGATAAATTTATATAGCTAATAAAATTAATTAAATTAACTTGCATAAATATAGAGACTTTGCACATTTCAAGCACAGTTTCAATCCAACCGGAAAATTAATGCTTTAACAACTGTACACTGTCGTTTTTAAATTTATTTGCTGTAATGCTTAAGTAACTTATTGATTTATATTTTCTACCATTAAAAATATTCGACTTTAAAAACTTTTTCCAACACTAAAAAAATTTCAACATTTAAACTTCCAAAAACTACACAAATTCCAAATTTACTAAACATACTGCATGTAACATACTAGTCGGAAGTATCTAATGACAAGTATTTGCTAGAAAATGACATTCTCGGTATCAGCTACTCTAAATGCTATTCAGGTAAATAAATCCGAAAAAAAAACGATTGAAGCATATCATGAATGTACGAATATTTTTGTGACCCTAAGTAACAATTGCCCAAAGTAAATGACAAATATGGTGGAAACAGAAACCCGGTGTTACAGCATTCTGAGGACGCGGACATAAGGCTGGTGAAGGCACTGCGGAAGATGAAGCGGCCGTATGTGAATACACAGCCCGACCGGCCACAGGCTTTAGCTGGGCCGGTTGCAGTAACGGTGATGCAATTGCCACGGCGAAATTTGATTCAGAATTACTATTTTACAATACACGGATGCTTCGCCTGCAATGTACAAATGTTCTGTAATGGATATTATATCTAAAGCTATGGTAAGGAACAATAAAATCAAAAAAGCTCTCAAGTCCGTTAAGTCCGTTAACACTATCTAATTTTCTGGATTTTATATATTTTAAGATGGCACAGCACGCTTCAACGTTGTAACCAGTGCAAGAAAAACACCATTACGGTTTGCAAAACGTGTAACACTAATAGTGAATGATGTGAAATGAAGGTATCACTAATAAATAAAGGACCAAGTATTGTGCCCTCCTGCTACCAGAATGAATATTTCTGATGTGACGAGAAGAGAATAAAATTAAATTTCAGAAAAAAGGAAAGTAGTTCTTTCTGTTCATACTACTCTCTCGTACTTACTACGATAAGAAACATCAATTTTTTATAGAAATTATTCAAAATTCCTCCTCCTGCTATCCCATTCTTTAATATTACTTCTGTCATTACTTTCTTCGTTAAAATCTGTCTATAA